TGTCGTCAGCCAGCCTGTCTGGGGAGTCCTCCTTAGTGACATTGGATTTGACAGCCAGATCGCTGTTGGTTGTGGGGTTTTTGTCTGTCGATGGGTTTGAACTCCCTTCTGCTGAAACCTGTAATTCACTGGTAGGCCGCTGCTGTTGCAGAGTCAGGGGTGCAGAACTGATTTTTCTTTATCGTGTTTATAGTTGGTCTCCGGTTTGCTATTATTGCAAATACAAAGCCAGGATTTTAGAATTGTGTTGGGGATCCTCTCTGCCTTGTCCCACAAGGTGTGGGGGCCTCATTGGGAATTCCTGTTGGGGCTTCACAAGTCTCAAGCTGCGTCAGGGACTCTGTCTCCTGCGTTCACATCCTGGAGCCTTGGAGAGTTCCTTGGGAGCAGCCAGTTGACTGGGGACTTCTGTGGGAATTGGGTTGAGATCTCTGAGGACCATCACACGTTTACACAACAGCCCTCAGAGCACAACACTTTTACATAAAAGAGAGGATGTCAGGGGAATTTACCTCATCAGTTTTGTGGAGGTATTCCCGTAGAAGAGCGGAGAAGTGTAAGCCACGAAGGCGCTCTCCACTCTCTGGGCTACAAGGAGGCTCAACGTTGCCAATGTATTTCTAGGCACTAAGAACTGGGTGAGTTCGACTCTCATTGGTTTCTTTGGGAAAAGATTACACGAGACAGACAAACGGGTTTACAAAGAGAAATACTTTTGATGGATCATTGCAAAATAAAAAAGTCCGCAACATAGGAAGTGACATAGCTCTGTGTCTTGTGTGTGTTTCTGTCTCTCCTTCTATGAGAATTCACATTTTTAGAAACTACTGTGAGGGTGGAAAAGGCAATTTCTATCTAAATAAATGGAATAGAAAACAATTTAGAATTAGAAATCTCAGTGACTTCTCACTCATCTTGAATTTTTTGTTACTTTTACATTTCTTCTTTTTCCTCTTCCTTCTCCACCTCTTCCTCCTCCTCCTTCTTTTGAGTTTTCAACACATAGTTTCTGCATGTAGCCCTAGCTGTCCTGGAACCTGCTCTGTAGACCAGGCTGGTAGCAAACTCACAGACATTCACCTGCCTCTAACCCTGGGGTGCTGGGATTAGAGGCTTGTGCCACCACAGCCTGGCCTGCCCCTCAGTTTCTTCACTCCCGTGACTCCCTGTGAAGCCTGGTGTTCTGGTAATACTTAAGATGATAACCTTTAGCTCTCTGCTCAAGTCAGCAGAGAAAGACCTTTCCATGCTTAATATTTCCAGTCCCTTCAAAACATTCCACTTCTGCTTGTAATCAAGAGACAGCTGAAGCAGGCTAGAGCTCTGTGAAATCAAAACAAGTGCTGAAGTAATGGAGATATCACGATAGTGCCAAAGTTCATTGCCATAAGCTTAATGTAAGGCCTGGAGACGGCTCCGTGAGTATGGATGCTAGACAGCCTAACTTCCATCCCCAGAACTCATGTGGTAGAAGGAGAGAACGGACTCCTCAGTTTGTTCTCTTACTTCAACACCCGCCTCCTCATACAAAATAAATTAATAGCTGTAGGAAGTTTAAATGTTAATTGTAAAGATTCTGTATAGCTTAAATAGTGCACACAGAAAACTTATATAGTGCCACAGATACTGAAAATATGCAGTTACCACCAGCATTCTTTATTCAGGGGGACAACTAAAGCTTATATTATTTGTCATTAAAACTCATGGAGTCTCTGAGATTTTAAAGTAGCAGCTAAAGATTTCCTGCTATAAAAATGCTATTTTATTGACCTATGCTTTTAAGGGCTGTCTTATTAGAGACCTAAATTTGAAGCGTTTAAATCACCCTAACCTGAATCAAGAAAGACACACACACACACACACACACACACACACACACACACACAAGAGAGAGAGAGAGAGAGAGGGAGGGAGGAACAGAGAGAAACAGACAGAGAGAAATTGGCTTTTGAATAGTGTTACCTAGGAACAGATAAAATATGCTGGTTATTTTGTACATATTTTTACATATTTGTGGGGGGGGCATTGGAGCTGGTATGGATGCCACAGTGCTTGTGTGGAAGTCAGAGGACAGCTTGCAGGAATTAGCCACCTCATGCCACCAGGTGGGTTCCAGGTATTGAACTCGTGATCAGTGTTGGGAGCAAGTGTCTTTCACATTAAACCATCTCTCCATCTCTGTTCTGAACACTTTTAAAAGGCATACTTCGCTTATACAATGGGTAACATTAGTCAGCATTACTCTAAAGATCTCCGCAGGAGGCAAGAGTTACTGCAGGTGCTCTCCAAACCTCCACAGGCCATCTTCCTAACTTTAAACTGGCATTATGGAAAATGTAGAGTGTAAATTTGAAGCCAGTCTTGAACAGGGAAAACAGTAGTTTAAGAATCTAGAATTTTAATTATATGATTTTACAATGTTGTGATTTTCATTGATATGCTACTTGAGCATTCTAATTTAATTTTTTCTGTATAAGAATTTTGACTATACCCACAAGAATGATCCTTGAAGCTTTGAGAAAACTATCATTTTTTTCAGATTTCAAAACAATAAAACCCTACTAGGATTTAGTGATCAGTTTTTAATTATCTATTTTGTTTGGTGAAGTCGCTTTCCCTTCCTTTTTTTAAAATTAATTCTTTGTGGGTTTCACATCATGCATCCCAATCCCATTCATCTCCCCATCCCTTCATATCCACCCTCTACTCTTGCAACCTACCCCACAAAATAAAATTTAAAAGAATTTCCAAAAGCAAAAACATCCAAACTAGCTAACATACAGAAAAGGTCTTGTGTTCTTCATCTGTGAAAGAGGTTTATAACTGCTTTTCTCCTACAATCATTTAGGAAAGATTTGTGAGGCATTTAGTACCATGGCCATCGGTCATATTGTAAGGATCTGTGTGGTCTTATTGATGCTCTAATCATGTCAGCTTTCCTTTCTATTTTTTGTTCTTATTAAACTCTGATGATGTTGACAGGGTAACTAAACCTTGTGAGGTCTGGTGCTGGGCGGTTGGTGGTTTGGCTCTGTTCATCTACTGGAAGGTAGGTACATTGGGCAGTAAAGATAAAGCCCTTGTTTTCTGAGAAAGGATATAGAGTAGCAATGCAGTTTTCCTTGCTCAAGTGGAAATCAGGAGCACATAGTTGATTACCCTTTGTCTACTTCAGATCTAGTTCAATGCCGCCCTGGTTCTAAAGAATTACACATCCCCTTAGAACAGCTTCTTGCACTCAGTGTGTGCCTGAAGAACCCAGGATCTCATGAAGTGCAGACTGGATTCTTCAGCTCTGGGCTGGACCCTTGTGTTCTTCTTCCTAGCAGATTTCCAGGTAATACTGGTGCTGTTAGGTGAAGGACCCATTTCCCGTTCTGAGTAGTGCATCACAGTAACAGAATGGTATAAACAGTGAGATGGAGTTTCATGACTAATTCCTGGAAAGCTTGGCAGAAATAGTCTCCTGTGTTCCCAGTCATAAAGCAATAACAATGAAAGACAATTCCAGCCCTCCCCCATCCAGATCAGATAATGTTATAAAAAGTAAGAGGCTGCACGTAGCACTTCAAAAGGCTTGCTGGGTCTCCTCTTCTCTCTCCCCACAGACAGCATCAGTCCCAGATTGCCAGTCCTTTTAGCCTGTCTATTGGCTGCCATTTATTCTCTGCCCAATCTGTTGTCTTGAGGCAGGCAGCTTTTCACACTTATGCTTCTTCCTCCCCTAACACACCTTCAGTTCCTTCCAGGATACTGTTGCTTACCATAACTAATAACATTGCCCTGAGATGACTTAACTTCTCTAAGCTTTTTCTCTATTCTATAAAACCAGCCTGTATTTTGTCAGTGGTCCCCAAACCTAGATGGCCATCCAAGTCTTCTGGGGAGCTTTTGGGAAATAGTGGGCATATCTTGGCCCTACTGCATGTTTAATCAGCTGTAACCCACCGGTGTGGACCCTTAAAGTGTCCCCTCAAGCCCCCCTGAAGCTGCTGCTGCCTAAGCTCAGTGCTGGCCCTGGGGAGCCCGACTTCCATTCATTTCTCTGTGTATATCTGATGCACCGCTTAACTTCATCTCCACAAGGGCAGAATCTTTATTTCCTTTTTTCTGCAGTATTTTTAGTGTGATGCCCAGGACAATACCTCAGCACATAGGTAAAAAGCTGTTAAACAGTTTCTTTTCTTTTCTTTTCTTTTCCTTTCTTTTTTTATTTGAATTAGAAACAAGATTGTTTTACATGTCAATCCCAGTTCTCTCTCCCTCCCCTCCTCCCCTACAATCCCTCCCCCCAACTAAAACCCTACCTATCACATATCCTTTCTGCTCCCCCTGGATGGTGAGGCCTTCCATAGGGTGTCATCAGAGTCTATAATATCCTTTGGGATAGGGCCTAGGCCCACCCCCGTGTGTCTTGGCTCTGGGAGTATTCCTCCATGTGGAATGGGCTCCCAAAGTCTACACCTATGCTAGGGATAAGTACTGAACTACTGCAGGAGGTCCCATAGATTTCTGAGGTCTCATCACTGAAACCCATGTTCCTGGGGTCTGGATCAGTCCCATGCTGGTTTCCCAGCTATCAGTCTGAGGACCAAGAGCTCCCCGATGTTCTCTGTGGGTTTCACCAGCCTGATCTGGATCCCTTTGCTCATCACTCCTCCTTCTCTGCAACTGGATTCCAGTTCAGTTCAGTGGTTAGTTGTGGGTGTCTGCTTCTACTTCCACGAGCTGCTGGATAAAGGCTATAGGATGGCATATAAGTCAGTCATCAATCTCATTATCAGGGGAGGGCATTTAAGGTAGCCTCTCCTCTGTTGCTTAGATTGTTAACTGGTGTCATCTTTGTAGATCTCCAGACATTTCCCTAGTGCCTGATTTCTCTGTAAATCTAAAATGTTGCCATTATGGTATCTCCATTCTTGTTTTCTTCAATTCTTCCCCTGACTCAACCTTTCTGTTCACTCATGTCTTCCTCACCCCTCCCCTTCTCCCCTTCTCATTCTCCTAGTTCCTTCCCCCCTCTTCCCTTGCTCCCAATTTTCTCAGGAGATCTTGCCCCTTTCCCCTTCTCCAGGGGACCATGTATATCTCTCTTAGGGTCCTCCTTGTTTCCTAGCTTCTCTGGCAGTGTGGATTGTAGGGTGGTAATCCTTTGCTCTATGTCTAAAATCCACATATGAGTGAGTACATACCATGTTTGTCTTTTTGTGACTGGGTTACCTCATTCAGAATAGATGTTAAACAGTTGGAATGCATGGCCTCTTCTCTTCTTGTGGATTTCTGTAACCTTAGCCTATCTTCAGGTCCCACATCTCTTCTACAGGACATGTTTTCTTCATCCTCATTTATAATTCTCTATAGGAATGGAATAGTTCTGGCTTTGGATCCTGTGACTTCTTATGTAGTTATAGCTTATTTTATGTTTGTCATTGCTTCATTTTTAGATGATTTCCACTAGATTATGTGTTCCTTATGGGCAGGAAATATATCTTAATAGTTTCCTGCCTTTCCTCTGGGTTCAGAGTAGAAGCTTAAGCCCCAGCTTATATGCTCCCCTGTGCTCCAATCACTGTGACCTCCTGGCTTTTCAAGTTTGCCAAGGGTTCCAGCCCCCAGGCTTTTTCTCTTTCTGTGCCCACTGCATGGACATTATCCCTTCCTTAGCCACAGCTTGCTCTCTCGCCCCCTCAAAGACTGCTGAAATGGTACTGTCTATGAATCATCCCTTCACTGACTACTGAGTGTGAAATTATACTTCTCAAGCAAGCCAGTGCTTTGTAACCATTTAATTTTCTCTAGAAGAGTGTCATCATACCGAACTTACTGACTTAATGCCCTCCATAGCATATGGTTTATGTAAGCAGATTCTGTGTAGCACCTAGACAGTGCCTGACACAGTGTGGATGCTCAACATTGTGCTTTTGTGATTAGTTGTCTAAATTTACCCCAAACCTCCAGCTACTACACTGAGCTCATGATTCAGAAGCCTGTGCCTAGGTTTCATCAGGTGTCCTGATGCTTACACCATATTGCAGGTGGAATATGATAAGCATTGTTATTTAGCTTGGGAAATGGGCGGGGTGGCACACCTTTAATCCCAGCATTCGAGAGACAGAGGCAGGTGGATCTCTGAGTTCAAGACAGCCTGGTCAACAGAGTGATTTCCAGGACAGCCAGGACTGTTACACAGAGAAAACCTGTCTCAAAAAACCATATATAGGGGAAATGGGGTCCTCAGTCAGTAGCATGACATCACTAGAAAACTGTGAGAGAGCCCATCCTCCGCCCCAATACAAACCTCTTCCCAGCACTGTCTCTCTTATAATTCCTCAAGCCAGTGACTCACCCTCACTTTTCCCTCCCCCTCCCCACACCCTCGGGATCCAGTCACTTATTAGGTCCTGCAAACTTAACCTCCTGGGTGTGTTAAGTCCATTTACTGTGGTCCATATCAGTTACTGAAGTTACACACTAGCGTTTTACATCAAGTACAGTTCTCTTCAGTTAGGTCACCACACTGCAGAAAAAAAAGTGATCATTTTATTATTTCATTCTTCTAGCTGAATCCTGAGGAAAACCACCCTAATCAGACAGAGACTATGTAGTCAGCACTTGCTGTTGGGAAGGAGTCAAGCAGCATCACTTACTTTTGACAGAGAATGCAAGCCTGGCATGAAAGCTTGATATGGAGGGTGTGCTGTGGTGATTGGAAATGGTTGCCTCCGAGAAGCACTAGGCAGCCTGGAGGCTGGACATCTGGTGTAACTGCAGTGTGAAGCATAATTGTGTATTTTATTCTGGCTGTTTCTTTTTGGCTTTCTCTGACTGGTACCAAATTGAAACTAGGAGATAAACAGTAGAGCAACTGGAAGTCAATGCCCAAACTCTGCTCTTTCTGGGTCTGTTTCTGTAGAAACTATGGCTTGCCTTCGTGGACTGCTGTAGAATTTTTAGGTTGGGCCTGAGTTCAAGCTAGATTCCATAAGTAATTGTCAACAGACAAGTCTGACCATTGTCACTTTATATCCCCAGTCTCAAAACATCCAGTGGCTTCCTAAGACCTTTGTATGACATCCAGAGCATTCTGGATGCTGCATGCTGATAGCTACCTGAGATCACGACAGTATGCTGGTCATACATAAAGCGTAGAGCCTGCCAACTAAAACTTATGGAGGCTGGGAAAGTAGAATGTATACAGAGCAACATGGTGTGATGATATGCGGTAAACACAAAAGAAATCCTTAGCTGGGCATTGGTGGCGCACGCCTTTCTTTAATCCCAGCACTCAGGAGGCAGAGGCAGGCAGATTGAGGCCAGCCTGGTCTCCAGAGCGAGTGCCAATACAGCCTCCAAAGCTACACAGAGAAAACCTGTCTCGAAAAACCAAAAAAGAAAAAAAAATCCTTGCTGCTCTCCATTTTTGTGAAAGGTTACTTGGGGAAGAAAAATGGAATAAAAAAAAAAAATCATGTACCAAGTTTTCATTCCAATCCCTTTGTCTAAACCTCAAAGCAAATATTTCAAGAGTTATAACACAAAGGGCCACCCTATTTGCCTGTAGCTATATCTGCATCCATAAAATCTGAAATGAAAAAGAGAAAGTAACCACAGGTGACAGACACTGTTAAAACTCCAAATCTCCAAAGGCAAAATTAAGTTTGCCAAACTGTTTGTTAATGGTAAATTGAACAATTTAATGGTTATAGTTAATGATTGGGAGGCTCTCCAAGGCCCCAGCCCTGGATGAGGAGCTGTTGGCAATTGATGGGATTAAGAGTCACTTTTCTTTGAGGGGTGGACACTGGCAGGTTGCCCATGCCCAATTTAATAGCCTCACAGCATGTACATACATATGGGTGGCTTTAAGTGGACTCAGTAGGTTATACAAAATAACAGAACTGGAAGGGGGAAGGAAGATACAACAGGAAAAGAGGGTTGGGAAGGCAGAGCGAGGGAGTGGATGTACATATGACTAAGATGCCCTGTATGAAAATTTCAAGGACATGTGTGTGCTTGACTTAATTTCTTTATTACGCTGGGGTGGAATAATCAGAGCTTTGTGTTTCTAGGGTATTTTCAAGTCTATGGACCTTAATCGCATCATCAGACTCCTTGAAGTAAATGATAAGGTGAGTAACCTTGGAGAAGTTACTTTGCTATATCACTTAGAAACTCTGAGCAGTAATAGGCCTTCCCTCGAATGCAAATATTGTTTATCTCTTTTGTTGAAAACTTTTCCCACATGAATGTTTTATATTCAAGGAATTTAAATTTAGTATGAGAACCAATTTGTGATTTTTATAAGAGGTTCAAACCTAACCGTATTGTCTATAATCAGAAGGATCAGCAAAAGCAAAGAAAGGACTCTCTTAGGTTAATACCTTAAGAGTAGAGAAGGAGCCATATATCCTGTGCTAATAATTTTCTTGCCAAGTAGGACTACAGAGGAGACATAGTAGCATAAGGACATAAAGAACTAGTAGAAAATTTCTAATCTGAGTCAGGACATGGAAACAGATTTAGACATAGACATAGACATAGAGGATTTGTTCTGAGAAAAATGAGAACACAAAGAAAATAACTTTTCTTTTATAAGATTCAAAAATGTATTGGGAAAAGATATAGTAACTGTGTATGCATACATGTTTACACACAGCTCTCTCCTATGGTTGCCCAGGTATTGGTAAGTGCCTCAGAGCTAGCACTCACTGTGGAATTACCTGTACTCATTTTCAAAGATGAACACATGCTTTTAAATAAATAGAAAATAGATTGACTCAGGTGTAGCCACCAAAACAAAGTAACATCCTATGATTAGTAAATACAAACATTTAGCTATCACTTTAACATTTTTAGTCTCCACTTTTTCTTGGAAAAAGAAAATAAAAACCACCAAGAGTAATTTATCTTTTGATGACTGGTTTTTGTGAAGTTTACGTGTTTAAATTGCAAATATATCCACATTAAAAAATAAAACACAACTATGGAAAGTTCCTATTAGTTCTTTTTGTTTTTGAAGGAAGAGTTGGAAAATATAGACAGTGCCAGCACTTTTGATCAACAGTTTAATTTGAAAGGGAGTAGAGGCAGGCAAGATAGCTTACTGGGTAAAGGCATTTGTTGTCAAACCTGACTACTTGATTTCAATCCCCAGAACCCACATGTGGAAGGAGAGAACAAACCTCTGAATGTTGTCCACTGATGTCCTCATGTGTACCATAGAACACACACACACACACACACACACACACACACACACACACACACACTAAGTAAGTGTAAGATAAAAGAGGAGAACACATATCAGGGTTTTGTTTTTCGTTGACACAGGAGTTTTGAAAACACATTACTGTGTAGAGGCGTATTAACTATACCAAAAGTCTATGTGATTCACTGACCTACAAAGTCAGAGTTGGCATTCAGAACAGAAGCTGTGAGGCTTCGCATAAAATTTTGTTTCAGTTTTTATGCATGCATTCATAACCAAAACCAAAAAATCTATTACAGATGACTAGAAAAACTGTTTGCTTTATTTCCTCTTTGATAACAATGCCCATTACTAAATGCAGTTCTTCCTTATCCTCTTATACTTAGCCTTTCTTGTTCTCTCATGGATATGTGATACTGTATCCATGTATGCATTTGCTTTTTATGTAAGAATTACTTAGTAATTTTAATCTGTTTATGCATTGAATAAAATTTTGAAAATCTCAGCCAGTTTAATGGCACAAGTGAACTAACAGACCGTTTGTTTTAGGATGACTTAGAAGAAAAACAACTTAATAGTGTCACAAACCTGGTACAATATTATCAGAATGGATTTGTATCCTTTATAAATGTGTGTGCATGTTCATCTCGTTCATCTGGAAACACTAGAAAGTGTTAACAAGGTATCACAAACCAGGTAAGTTTATTATCTGGGGGCTTGAGAGATGGCTCAGAGGTAAAGAGCATTAGTTGCTCTTCCAGAGGTCCTGAGTTCAATTGCCAGCAACCACATGGTGGCTCACAACCATCTGTAATGTGACCTGGTGCCCTCTTCTGGCCTGGGCAGAACACTGTATACAAAATAAATAAATAAATAAATATTTTTTTAAAAAAAGTTTATTATCTGATAGTTGTAGAGACCAGAAGCTCAGAGTTCATGTTACTTTACTAATGTCAAGGTGTCAGCAGGGACTGGTACTACTGAAGATTCAGGAGGGAGGTGGTGGGGGGGCGATTGATTTCCTTGACTTTCCCACCTGCTGTAGGAAGCCTACACTATCTATCTGTGTGTAATAACTAATTTCATGCTGGTGTCTATTTGTTTTTTAAATTTTTGTAGATAGATGTTTTGCAAAGTATAATAACAGTTTCATAGTCACACTAGATTGTTATACATGTTTTGAAATGTCTACTCTAAGTCAGATGTGGTGGCTCATACCTATAACATCAGCAGTTAGGAGATAGAGAATCAAGAATCCAAAGCCAGCCTCCATACATAGTAAGTGTGAGGACAGCCTGGGCTAAATGACACCCTCTTTCAAAACAAGAAAAGCTTTCTTTTTCTGCACTCATCTGCCATAGACTTGTAACAAAACTCCAGAGCAAAGGTCCATAGACCCCACTTTGGGTAGAATTGAACTGACTCATTGCTGACAGTTGTCTGATTTTGGTCTAAAGATGTCCATCTAATAATAACATGTTCCAGTTCAAAACATCTTAAGCTTTCCACTAAGAGATGGGTACACATCATATAAATTTCTCTAAGTATTTTCTTTGTAGTAGCCTTGTTTCATGAGGATCTGTTGGAGCAGTCTAAGAGCTTATGCATATTAAGTACTACTTATTGGTAACCAAGAAACTCTACTAGAAAGTGACTGCATTCCCTGTTTAATTTGGCAACTCAGCACCTCCATCATTGTTTTTCCTTAGAAGTAGACAGTTGGTAGCAAGTAACTCTATTTCTGAACACCCTTAATAGGCTGGCTTTAGATGCTATTTAAATTAGGGAGTATCAATTTCCTAGGAAATTGTTATAAGACTTTTCCTGGGGTGATGGGATCACATATCTATTTACTTGGATATCACTGTCAAAAACACTATGTGTGTGTGTGTGTGTGTGTGTGTGTGTGTGTGTGTGTGTGTGTGTATGTTTGTAATTACTCCAATACATTCTGATGTGTTCGATTTTTTTGAAGGCCATGATTTCATTAGGTATCTGTCTTTTAGCTAGAAAAAAATGACTTTACAATTTATTTTAGTATGGTCATTAATTCTCTTAGAATTTTTTAAATAAAAGTTTGTTTTGGCTTACAGTTCAGGGGGGTGAGTATTTCGCTTCATTTATTAAATGATATTTTATTGAATATAGGAAGAATTCTAGGCTGATATTTATTGATTTGATCATTAAAACATTGTTTGGCAGTGAAGTGTATTGCATGTACCTTCATGAGCTCCTGTGAACCACATTACGTGCTGATGGGAAAAGGCTTTTCTTAGTTGTGCAAGGTAGCTTCTTCAAACTCTGTATTTACTCATTTGCCAAGTCACCAAGATGCTCAGAGATGTGTTACCCATGCAATGACTGCTTTTTACAGGGATAGACCGGATCTCTGAAAGCCAACCACTATCTATTCTCAACAAGCATCGGGTAACTCAGGAATCAGCATCTAGGCAAATACTAAAGCAAAACATTAGCAAGCGATGCAACATGAAAAGATTCCATCACTTGTATCAATTGTTTAGTCAAAGGGGCAGCATGGGTACAGAGGTTCAGAGAGAGCAGTACCCCATTAAGCCCTCCATGATCCCCAGGGATTCTCCATGGCTTCTCTTTCTCATCTTGTGGCACTGTCATGGGCCTCCTACAAAATACCAGGCAAGGCTGGCTCACACTGCTCTGAGTTACCCAAGTCATGGAGGAACAGGATTGTGTTCAAGCCTGCTTGGCCTTTAAAATAGCAATAGATTGATTTGGAGTGGTGACACTTTTTGCAAGACAAATTCTGTCTGCATGACTGTGCATCAGTCTTGATCATCTCCTTCAGTATGGAGAATTGCTGCTCTGAGATAAAGCAGGAAGAAGCTGCATGGGGACCATAAGACATCTGCAGAGCTTTCCCTGCCCACAAAGTTCACCTTCGTCCAGTACAAGCTTAGTCTTTTGCATCTTAATTGTTTTATTGTTTATACCTTCTATGAACTTCTTTGTTTTTCATATTTTAAGGCCTTCTGGGAGTTTACAAGCATAGAATTTAGCTTCTGTCCATTTTCCCTTAGGAGCTCTGGCTGGACACGAATTTGCACATTTGATTTGGAGTAACCTGGTTATACTAGTTATACCCTTTACCCTTTGTCTGCTCTGCCTTGCTTTCATCTCCTCTAAGTTTTGTTGTTTTGTTTAGTTTTTCACTTTACAGCCTTGAGTTGTGTGCCAGACCCCACTAGTGTGCTGATGTAGGCCAGATTCAGCAGAGCCCCTGTAAGATCAAATAATCTCTATAAGGTTATATAATCAGTAAGATCATAGTCACCATGAGGTCCCTCCTGAATTAGCCTTTGTAAAACATTAGTTACCAAACACATTTCTGCCTGGCCTGGTGAACTAGTCACTGAATCACACCTCTCTCTCTCACACTTAGTTCCCTGTCTTCCAGTTCCTGGTATTCGTGGGAACAGGAGCCAGCAATAACCAAGTGTTCCTAGTTGCAAATGAGTCAGGCCATAAGGAACTGGTTTTCTTCACCTTGCCTCAGATCATGCAGCTTTTTTTCTCCAAGATGGATAGTCACATTACTCAGCTTCTCCACAACCTTCTCCATGGTACTCAGGCTGAACCCATCCACCCCCACGTCCCGTAGCCCCATGAACCAGACTGGCAGGCTCTGTCATTACTCATTTAAAAGAATTTCCCAATTCAAACAGTTCTGGTGCTGAGTAGCACACAGTCATCGTACTTCTTCCTACAGGGCCATTAGTAAGACTCCTGTCTACATGTTGATTGATGGGGTTTCCTTCTCTCTTAAAGGTCAGGTCTGAGGAGTGTCTTCTATCATGTCGACCATGTTAAATCATGGATTTTCCCTTCTTCTCCATGAAAGGTCAAACCCAACGGATGTCCTTTGTTACTTTCACCATGTCTTTCCTCATTGTGTGTTCTTAAGGCCCCCATCTGCATCTTGGATCATGGGTTTCCTCTTCATTTCTATTAAAGCTCAGGCCTGAGAGATATCTTCTATCACTTCTGCTTTGTTCTTGTCCTCATCGCTGTTGGATTCTTCTCACAAGTTCTAAGCTTCTGGACCCCAGGACAGGCTTTTTAGTACAGCTCTAACTTATGCTCTCTTTCCCTTCTTTCCCTCATCATGACTTAAGGCTCTTGGTTGAATCCTGTCGCTTCTAGCTGCTTGATGGGAACACCATAGAAATTGTCCACCACATCAGAGGCAAACACCACAACAAGGAGGCATGTCATCCCTTACCCTGTGGAGAAAAGTACCCATATTGGGGTTGTCCCCCATGGACTCTGCCTTCAAACTGATTAGCCACAGATGCCTGTCTCATCACACATTGCAGGGGCCATACAATCACTCTGCCCCAACTCATCTTCACTTCTGTCTGTTCCTCTTCAGACACCAATTGTGTTATATGATTTTTCCTGAGGAGACACGAGCAGAACCTGTTTAACTCAGATAAATCATTGATGACAAACCAAATAAATAGTTCTACCCAAACCTAATTTAGTGACTTTATTGGGGTTACTGACAGGACTACGGCTGACTCAGAGAAAACGGCATTACTTAAAAAGCAGACAATGAGAATTCACAAAGCTACATCCTTGCAATGTGTATGCACCTCCCCTCATAAATGTCAGTGTATAACTTTTTTTTAATTCCTAAGGCATATGAGCCTCTTCTCCCTATAGGCATGAATGTTTCAATTCAGAGGTGAATGCTACATAAAAGAAGTTCCCACCCTTGCCTAAGAAGCTCACAGCAAAGGTAGACAGAATTGGATGCAAGCCAGAGCCTTAAGTCATAACCACCACAATCTCTTAGCTACCAAGCAAAATGAATGAAATTTAGCTTTGTAGTGATCATGCTTTTTTTAAACAGGCAAAGTAGAATATGTTTTTACCTGAAGATCTAGAAGAAGGACATTTTGCTTTTTTATGTGAGTTTTAAATGAAATAAAATCCCAACCAATTTAATGCTAATTAGAAAAAATTCATCTGAACAAAATGAAGTACTACATTAAAATGACTTGAGTTGTGTCTGTTTATGTTGTGGGCTGAAATAAAGGTTACTGAGATAATAAATCATATTGCTAAAAATAGTTATAACCTTTTCTGATTAGATTTCAAAATAATAATTAAAATAATGCTTACCACATTGAACAAGATAGATGGACTTTCATAAGCTTTCTGGGGGAAAGGCCTATAGAATTGTGTCTATAAATTGATGCTGGTTTTATTTCTTAACAAAATACTGAAGCCTCTAAGGGACCTGGCACAGGTGTTTAAAATCCTGAGTCTGTGCGCAGATAAAATTGAAAAGCAGCCCTGCTTTGTGGAACCCGCGTCTGACCTCATAAAACTGTGTGGGTGAGTTGTTTAACTTTGCTTTGTACAGCTGTTTGTTACATTATGCTTGCTTCTGTTTTATAGAGGTATTGGTTATATAGTGTATCAATAATAAAGAGTTCAGCTGGGTAGTGGTGGTGCACACCTTTAATCTCCATACACAGTAGGCAGAGGCAAGCAGATCTCTGTGAGTTCGAGGCCAGCCTGATCTACAGGGCATGTTCCAGGACAGCCAGGACTTCACAGAGAAGTCCTGTCTGGAAAAATGTGTGTGTGTGTGTGTGTGCGTGTGTGTGTGTGTGTGTGTGTGTGTGTGTGTGTGTGTGTGTATGATATAGAGCTACAAAGCAAAACTTAATCAAGTTGGCGACAGTATTTGGGTAGTTATTTCAAATATTGCAGTCTCCAACTGCTACAGAAGAGATTAAATTGAAATATAAAATGCTTTCTTATAAGTAGTTGCTCTCGAATGCCAAAGACCTTAGTTTTTAAAATAAACTTAGCATTACTTAGTTTCAATTTGGTTTTCTTTTTTCCCTTTCTTTGGGAAATTTGACTCTTACAAATACATTAAGTTCTATGTCATGTTTCATTTCGTTTTGTAATTTTAAATGAGGAAGAAAATTCTGATACATCCATCCATACATATATATGGATATAAACTAAAGGAAAGAGTTATAAAGTTGATATTCCTTCTCCAGCACTATTGTAGTTTCCACATGGGCTCTGGAAACCACACACACACACACACACACACACACACACACACGATGCTACTTTGCTGCCACATAGTGGCTGCTCTAGACAGATGTTTAAATCACCGCTTTCAGGTCACTGGACTGTTAGCAGAAGTTTCTTAGTTGGAAATGAACCATTTAGGTAATTTTGTCTTCTAAACCTATCTACCAATTTAATGTTTTAAATAGCAAAGTGACACTATTAGGATGACTATGTATATATATACAGGGACATTGAAGTCTTAGATTTAGCAGCAGTAAAATGAAAAATTCTGGAGTAATTTTGATACCATACTAAAATAATGAAAGATAATTTACCAAATGCTTATGCCTTTTAAATAGAGATTGTATACATAAGGAAATAAAGGATTTTTCTAGTGCTTTCAAGCTACCTATACATTTTCATGTTGATATGTGTGGATGCTGTGCAGGTCCTAAAGGACTGTGTTCACCACGTCACCTCCAGTGTCATGGCTCCGTAGAGCTGGTTCTCAATCTGTGGAATGTCTCACCATGTAATGTTACAAATCCTTTCAACTGTGTTCTTCCCTTTCCCTCCTTTTGAAGTTATTCACTTTATTATTTTTTTTACATTTCAAATTTCCACCTATATTCAGCATTTCACTGTACCCAATTCTCACTTGATTGTCTTTTCAAGAAAATTTTAGAGATTAAAAAGTTGAAAATACCTCAAGCTTTTCTTCTTTGGTCTCTAATAAGCTTTTCAATTGTATCAGGAGCACATCTTATTTTCTACATAGCCTTTTGGGTTAGATCTCCCCTACCCAGATACTTTATCTTAAAGGAATCTCCTTTGGTAGAAAAGTGGAAAAAAATGGGACAAGATATGTGGAATTTTAGTTTTGAAATCTTTAGCTGTCCATCAGTTGACTAGATGATAGTTTTATTTGTTTCGAATTTAATTCTAAAGGGATAAGAATGAGTCCCCATAGAAATTATAAGAGTGTCTCTTTTGCAGCTTGCCTTGGTATACTTCTAAATTCAAATTAACTTGTGTAGTCTATATCCACATAACAATAATTCTCAATGCCATTTCAGCTATTTGGTGTTTTTGAAAGATGTGATTTGGAAGCCATTTGTATAAATTCGTTATATAAATACATCAAACAGCAAGGAGATTCAAACAGTTTATATTTTGTTTTAAGAGGTAACTTTTATCTGTCCCTTGAAATTTAGAATAATGACTCACAATTCATAAGATTGATCTTCTATGATTTATAAGTAAATATTTTCAGATAACTTTGATTATAGTAGCTGAATTGTGATTCTAATATAATTAATATTTTTAAAGTTGAATTCCTTATTTTTCCCCAAAATATTCTTTTCTTTTGTGAATAATTCCTAATCCAGTTGATAAGGAAGGGCACTGACCTTTGTAAAGAAATATACCATTAATCTGGTACTTCCTGCTTTACAAACTTCAGGAAAAGCCATTAAATCTATTTTTAAGTTTTAGTTGAGTCTTCCTAACTGTGATTACAATAATAATTCACTACTTTGTCCTCAGAAAGATGATTCATTAAGTGTTTTATCAACAGTGATGGGCGATTACTTTCTTGACTCATGTCTGTCTTCATTCTTATGAAAGTGTTTTGTTTTGTTTTTCTCTCTGGTTGTTTAGTTAAAAGTATAATTTTCTTTCTGATTGTCAGTGCTCCACACTAAAGAATAAGATAAACTAGGAGGAAGTATCACTTTATTCTTTAGAAAGTAAGTATTTCCCCCTTTAAAAGTGATACATCCATCAGTCAAGGAATCCATTAAATATTACTCTGACATTCTTTGTTATTTTTCAAATAATAGTTGTTTCCATGGGTATTTTGGCAGTAGAGTCCATAAGTATATCTCAGTACAGATGTGGACAACTTCATGCTGGAGTGGTAGCCATCTTACAGGACAACTGTTGACAGGTTAACTGGTGATATAGAAGCTAATCTAAGCAGTTACACCAATCTATATTACTTAAATATTTTATGTATATTATATATATGACAGAAATAATATATATTATATTATATATGTATATATATGTATATATAATATATATATATGTATGTGTGGGCAGGCTTTTCTTATAGTTATATGTAATATATTTTTATTTCTATCATATGCATATAATACACATAAAATATCTCATATATATGTATAAGTATTTGTATAAACATATCTGGCTGAAGGAACCTACTCTAAGTGGATATTTTTTAAAAGTTCAGTAGCTAACAATAACACCTAAACATAAATTCATACCATGGCTCTCCAAAGCAAGATAGCGCTTAAACCCTGAACCATAAATCCACTTGTTCATGTGTGTTTACACAGAGCTGCTGCTTTCTAGGCCCCATGTAAGTGACTCGAAAAGGCTTCTGTATACAGTTTTAAGCTAAACTTCAGAGGATTATTGGAACTTTGATTCTTCTGAAACTTTTTTTTTTGAAGCTTGCCATTTTTGAAAAAGAAAGTATCAGATGAAATAACCTATACTGAAGATACTGCTAATTCACTTGCACTTCTGGGTAAGTTAAAATTTCTTAGATGGAGAATATAAGGACCAATGTGGGGAATGTGTGTGTGTGTCTGCTTTCACTGTTTCCTTAAAAGTATCCTGCACACCCAGGCTCTTCCCAATTTTATAGTTGAGTTATCACGGTGCACTCACGATGGTTCTGGAACTGTTTCCTTCTGAGGTACTCAAGACTGGCTTTTACTTCTTTGTACATATTTGATTTGATTATAAGTTAGTTATGGGTTGGTTAACCCCCTCCCTTAGTGCTTTGAGAGGTTCATACATCTTTTGATCATATCCACTCCTCACCCAACTCTTCCTAGATCTAACCCCCAACTTTATAGTGTACTTCTGCCCATCGAGACCAATTTGTGTTGCCCAAATATTCTTGAATGTGCGCTCTTTCGCTGGAGCTCACACTCTTAGAGGAACCAGTCTCCCCTTCCACCAAAGCAATTCATGGCCATAGCTGCATAGCTAGGGGTGGGATTCCATGCAGTCTTCATTTAATAATCATAAAAATGTTTCCACATTTGGGCTCTTATATTGAGTTGCTGAAACTGTTGAGTACTTCCTTGTTCACTGCACACTCCAAACTCTTCAATAAAATCAAATATGAAAAATTTCATAAGAGTATGCATTTATATCTATCTGGGTTTTTGATATTTTAGAGATAGGAAAATAATTTCCTAAGAAATGAGATCATATAAAACACTTTCTGATAACTTACCCCTGGACATGATGGTATGTTCTCAAACAAATGTTAAGTTAAATTTACAGTTACTAATTACTAAGTATTTGTAAAAGTGAAATAATAGGTAAATGATTGATAAACTTTTAAAACTATTTGCCTAAGTTCTTTTCTGAGTACTATACTCCACACAAACAGTTTTTCAACTAAAGTGAATAAAAAGAATTTTTGTTTTTAACATTAAATATTACTTACAACTCTTTTATGTCTAAGTTTCATCATCTTCAACTGTAGTTACTCAGAGTAAACTTCCTAATTTCATCTCAAACAGTAGAGGAAAATACCACAAAGACTAGAATAAATGTGGAGGGTTAAAGGAAACCTTAAGAATCAGGCAGTCTCAGAAGAAATGGGAAATTTCAATTCTGTTATTAGTGGAAAAGTTAATCCAAAGCCATCCTATAAGATGACATGCTAATATTAAAAAATATGGGTTTTGTTGGTAATATTATTTTGGCCCTACTATTCTAGAGTGCCACCTCTTAAAAAATTGACAGACATTTTTATAATAATACATGACCTATCATCAGATTATTCTTTGCTTAGTAACAGTCCGTCAGTAAAAGTACATTACTGTGCTGCTGAGGACAGTATGAGTTCTTAAATTCTTATGAATTCCCCTCACTGATTATGTAATGTACTGCTGCTATGCCTTTTTAATTGCTGGAAATATGAAGTAAATGAAAATATAGAATATGAAGTATTGAATAAAATATATTCATGACCATTACTAATAATTCCCAAGTTCTACCATGTATTGATAAGTGATATTACGATTTCTTCTAAATGATGTGTAGCTATTTCTGACTCAGGAGAAGAGTTCTGGAAATAAATGGCAGGTTGTTTAGGAAGAGACTCTGCCCTAAAATAATATAGCAGAAAGCTGTAAGAAACATTCTTAATTTGTGGTACCTGAAAAGAGAGAAAAGCAAATGTGAAACTGAGAGTTTCCCATACTTATGTTTGGCTGGTTTAGTTGCTCCTCTTGCTTGTTGTCGTTGTTAATACACACACACACACACACACACACACACACACATAAACAGTGGCATTCTAACTCCAAATGAAGCTCCAAACATGTTTGTAAGGAGTTATCATTGACATTACTAAGGTTCAACTTTCTTGAGGGGATAGAACTAAAGCAAGAATGAGGCCTGCACTGTGCTCCCCCCATCTCCATGCTCCCTCACCTGCTGGCCAGTGCTCCACCTCTGTCTCTGTGTTCCCTCACCCACTGGCCACTCCTGCTGGAAGTGAACATTACAGTCTTAATGGGATTCTTTACTCTCGTATACTCAGAGAATCCAGCCTGATCCAGTTTATTCCTCAAGCTGACTCTAGTTGTCCTTAGGCATCCAGATGGCAAGGGTCATTGCAGAGTCCCACAGATTATCTTCAGATTCTCCCGAGAAACATTCTTTTTTTCTTCTTGCCTCATATGTTACACCCCAACCATGGTTTCCCCTCTCCCCCAGCCTCCCCCACTTCCCCTCTCCCCCAGATCCACCTCCCTCTGCATCCCCTCAGAAAAGAGTAGGCTCCCTCCTGGGGAGCATTCTTGTTGGACTTCAAAGGAGTGAAAGTAGTCTAGCTTGAATTATTGAATTTACCAAATCGAACTCCGCAATAGTATAGATACAACTGAAAAGAAACACCGCGTCCTTCATCCTCTCCCAGAAAAGTTGAACATAGAATTATTGCCTTTGAGTTAAAGAATGTCCTGAAATTCCTCTTTCAGTCTGTCAGCAAACTGAGGGTGAAGCTAATAAGGAATTTTAAGATAAAAATACACTATGAATCACAATTTCTGAGTGTATCTTAGGAAGGATACTAACCTATATTTTATCAACAGTAACTGTCACATGTGGCACATAACATTATTCTTACACCTTGTCTCGTGTGAAGTCAATCTTCATAGCATTCTTAAATGTAGTGACTGTTAAGAATCAAATACTAGTTTACATGCTTTTAGTATGTAGCAGAGTCAGAATTTATTCTTGGATGGTCTGGCTCCAGTATCTATATTATTAGTGTCATTTGGTTCTGTCTGGAAATGACAGGCTGAAATGATTGAGGTAATCACATACATAATGATAGATTCAAAGTATTATATAGACACATATGTACATGTGCGTGTTTGTTCACATATACTATCATGTACTTCATTTTTACCCAACACTAGAACATCAATAAGATAGTGTTCCTATTAATCTGTCATTGAGCCAGAAAGCTATAGCACCTGTTGTTGTTTGTGGTGATGGTGGTAGAAGCAACCCTCCCATTGCTAGTTGTGTGAAAATAGAAAATAGAGCAATACAGTTGTAAACAATGAACAACACTTGATGAGTGGCTGTGTCCCTAGTTTACTATATTTTATCATCTAGATAAATAAATGTACTTTCTACTTATTATTTTTAAATTAACAGTCAAACAGTAACTGTTTGCCAGCAGCAACATCTTACTTTTGCTATGTATCTCAGTTGCTCTGTTTTCTCTTGTGCTTAATTTAATATCGTGTTTGTGTAAGTAAACAATATGTTATTCATAAAAATAACACCTAACAAGGAATTTCCCAGAAAATATCCCCATAGGAAGTGGTGCATGACTCTGGTACAGATACATGATCACACATGTAACTATAAGACCCAATATGATATCTCAGGAGATTGTTAAAATAACCATTATAATATTGGTATCATATGCTTACATTTTTAATAAACTTATAACATGTTATTACACCATTATCCTTTATCTTTCTGGCAGGTGAATTAATGAAAGTACGAAGTTCTAAATTAAGGATACAAATTTGCAAGTGTATTGTTGACTTCTATCATGCACAGCCACCAAAAAAGCATATTCCAGGTAAAGTTTCATTTATCTTTCAGTGATAATTTGTATCTTTAGGAAACAAAAAATTCATTATCATATTTCACTAAACTTTGAAAAAAAACAGGCTCATGGATTTAACACAAATTTTTGTGTAACTTTGACTTCTTCAGTTATCTTTAAAAATTGTACAAATTTTTCTTTTTTTAGTTTGGGGGCTGACATCAAATTTTTATCTTGATGATAAATCTTTTAACCCAGTTGATAAAGGCATAGCCAATTAAGTTTAATTGTTACTAGTAGTATTTCTTAGCATTGCAAATAAAATTATTTAATCATAATATCAATATATCCAAGTAGATGCTAAATTACTAATAGTGGTGCCATTCTCTATTATGTTTAGGGAGAATTCTGTATGTTATAGCTAGGAAATATTAATATATAGTGGTGAGTAGATTATATCAAGCATTAGCATTGTGAGGATATAATGTTATTTAAGACATACTTCTTATCTTCATTGATTATATAATTTGCAGTCAATATAGAAAGTGGGAATAAATAAGTGATATTTTGAAGATATGTTTTTTAATAGATAAAAATAAGTTGATGGTAGTCTAAAAACTGTATGACTAAGGAGAACATGACAGTACATCTTGAGTTAGTGAAATACATAAGGAGATTATTAAATATACAATGCGAAGTCTTGTAAGGAGAAGTAGACAGATTGGAGAAGTCAGTGAATAGTAGACATTGGATACTGAAATCATCAGGGATAAGAAAATCAGGCTTGAAATTCACTGAGTGGAAATGAAAATTGAAACTGTCAATGATTGAATTAGTCAGGAAATAAATCATGTAAACAGCAACGGACCAAGAAGAAAACTATGAAGAGTGTTCATATTCAGAGTTGAGAAATATGCTCAAAAGAATTAAGGGAAGTTTAAAAAGGATCCAAAAAATAGAAATGTTCAAAAAGAGGAGGAGATTTGTCTGGCTTTGCCATCATTGAGATCCCATGTGTGCTGCTGAGACTGCAGGCTGTCCTGTCTGTTACACTGTGACCTGACCAGGCTGCAGGAGAGAACAGCCATGTTGAGAACCTGAGACACCAGGAAGCTAGAAAAAGACAAAAAAGAGAAATCCAGAACATTGGAGAGAAGTACAAAAACTCAGGGGAAACCTAAAAGGCCAAATGGTAGAGAGACTAGGAACATAAAACTATGTAACCAAGGTGGAGAAATGTGGAGCCACACTCTAGGTTATATTCTGAACAAGAAAATTCCTCCTGGTGTAAACCATGAGAAATCTGTATTGTGGAGAAGTAGATATTGTCCTTCCATCTCCAAGTGTACCCTCCAAAGCTCAGCCTGCTCTTTTACTGGACCAGATGAGTGTCAGAAAAGAAGAGAAGCCATATAAATAAATGTGAGGAACACAAAGAGCTACTATCCCTGGTGCTTTCCAAACATGAAAGGCACATAGTGATGAGAAGCTGTATATCGATAAGCAGAGTGGGAAAGCTTGCATGACTCCGCCAGACATTCAGAGACATGTAATAACACACTGTGCAGAGAAACCTTATAAATATAAGGTGTGTGGTAGAGCCTTTGACTCTTCCAGTTCATTTCTAATGCACTCGAGAAATTGCTCCGGGGAGCAATGCTGGGGGAAGCATGTGTTTTATTTTTTTTCTATTCAGATATGCATGAGATTATGCTGCAGAGAAACATTATGCATGTAAGCAATGTTAGAAAACCTTCAGTTTTCCATGTTCACTTCAAATGAAAGAACACATTGGATAGAAGCCTTATGTTTGTAAGCATTGTGATACAACATATTGTGATTGTCACAACAGTTAGTTCACATTCATGAAATAACTCACACTGGAGGAAAAACTATATATGTAAGCAATTTACAAAATCCCTGAATGGTTCAGGTCTCTTTGCATATATAAAAAGATTCATAGAAGAAAGAGTCCTTTCTTATTTAAGCACTATGGTGAAACCTTCAGTTGCTCTACTTATTAATAAAGACATGCAGAAATTTTTGTCAAAAAAGGGAAACTCTTTTTTGTTGTAAGCAATGTGGAAAGCCTTCATTCAACCCAGTAACTTTCACAGCATAAAAGGACTCACACTGGAAAGGATCCCTGAGCAACAAGCATGGGAAGTTGTAGGCAGACTTTTCTTTCTCGCCTGTCAGTTCCCAAATAATCGATAAGGAGACTCAATATTAATATAAATGCTACGTCAATAGCTCAGGCTTATTACTAACCAGCTCTTACAACTTAAATTAACCCATTTCAATTAATCTATGTGCTATTACATGGCTCATGGCATTACCTGTCCTCCAGCCTGTCTTGCTCTCTCTGTGCTGCTTGGTGACTCTTCTGACTCTGCCCTTCTTCCAAGAGTTCCCCTAGTCTGGCTCTCCTGCCCAATCTCTCTTGCCCAACTATAGGCCAGTCACCTCTTTATTAACCAATGAGAGTAATACATATTTATGGTTTACAAAGATTGTTCCAAGCAGGAAGTGTTCATTATCACATAACTGACTGTCCAGGACTCAGGAGAATGCCAAATGCAGAGAACTTGTATTACTTTAAGTTGTGTGGAACAACCCTAGTTATTTTGATCCAATTCATAAATAGAACATACTATGGGAAGAAACCTTGGAGAGAAGAAATATGCAGAGTCCTAATTAGAGTCATGTATAAGAATGCACTCCACAAGCCGGGCAGTGGTGGCACATACCTTTAATCCCAGCACTCAGGAGGCAGAGACAGGCAGATCTCTGTGAGTTTGAGGCCAGCCTGGTCTCCAGAGCGAGTGCCAGGATAGGCTCCAAAGCTACACAGAGAAACCCTGTCTCGAAAAAACAAAAAAAAAACCCAAAAAACAAAAAACAAAAAAACACTACCCATCCTGAAGGAAACATTCAAAAATGAGAAATGATTTCTATTTATAAGGAGAAGAAACCTAAAGACCACCATGTGTATATTGATGAATGAAATGTTTAATGAAGAAACTTCTGTAATGATGGATGGAAAACCCAAGCTAGTGGAGTTGTAGTTAATGTTTGTGAGCTGCTGACAACGGTGATCTTATAGCAATATGAAGGGTTGTGAGAACAGAAGCAGCCACTTGAGAGTGAAGCAGGGACTGCTCATAAATAAATACAGACTTGTACTTAGAACTGAAGCAGCAAAAGCAAACAAGAAGATGGAGAACAGCCGCTAACTGGTAGCAAGATCAGAGAATGGTTATTTGGGTTTTGTTATTAGCTTTAGGATGTAGAAATGAAGCTGGTAGGCAGACAAGCTAGAAGCTCCTAAATGGGAAGTGGAAAAGCAACATCCTTGAAGTAAACATGAGAAATTGTAGTTAAGAGCACAATCCTAGAATTGATTCAGCAAAATAGAGACACCTCTTGAAGAAAAGAAGGCAAGGCTGGCAAGATGACTCAGTGGGTAAAGGCATCTGCTGCCAAGGCTAGCAACTTGAGTTCAATCCTCAGGACCCACACAGTGGAAGAAAGACCTGACTCCGTAGGTCGTCCCCTGACCTCCACTCACATGCCATGGCATACATGTCTTGTAGCGTACATTGCCACAAACATTCACCAAAAGAAAAAGAATTAAAATAAAACAAAAAAATATCTTAAAACTTTATCTGAAGCTGGATATGGTGGCACATGCCTTTAATTCCAGCACTTGGGAGACAGAGGTAGGTGGATCTCTGTGAGTTCAAGGCCAGAAGGATCTACAGAGCAAGTTGCAGTATATCCAGGGCTAAGCAAAGAAACCCTGTCTTGAGAAACAAACAAAATTTTATTTTAAAAAAGAAAGAGAGACAGTGGTGTATGAGTTAAGAAGGAGGAGTTTTGATGTGCAGAGAAGTCAGATATAATCAGATTGGAAATTGGGAGTTGTAGACACAGGAGTTAGGTTCATGAGACTGGATGTTACTGTGTCCTTCAATAGAAATGTAAACTCAGTAGAAAAAAATTAACAAGAATAGAGCACTTATTTTAGGTCATCCATACAAAAGACTTATGCAACTAAAATCATGAGTTGAAAAAGTATTTTGTGAATGGGCTACAGTAGAGTATAAAATTCTATATGGAATGTGCTATTAAAATTATGTACATACATTAAAAATAATCAGCAAAAATATATTGAATGTTAACATTATCTTTAAATGGTAAAATTATAAGCAATTTTTATTCTCCTTTGTATTTTCATTTGTAAAATCTTGTATATGTGTGTGTGTACGTGCACTGTATATGTATGGTGTATGTATGTAGGGTATATGCTCACATATGTATACAGGTAGCTGAGGATGTTGGATGTCCTGCTCTATTACTCCCTAATCCTTTGAGACAGGGTCTCCTACTAAACCTAGTGTTAAGCTGGTGGCCAGTAAGCCCCAGCAATCTTAGTGACTCTACCCCAAACCCTGGAGTCACAGGCAGTTGTGAAACCATGCCATGCTTTTTTGTGTTTGTGTTTCATTTTGTTTGTTGTTAAGTTTTGTTTGTTTTTATTGTTGTTGATGAGACAGTGCTACTATGTCCCCCTGGCTGACCTGGTACTCTCTGTGTAGACCAGACTAGCAGAGAACCTATAGAGATCTCTCTGCCTCTGCTTCCTGAGTGCATTAATGAAAGGTGTGTACCACCATACCCAGCCCATGCCAAGCTTTTTACCTTCATGTTAAAGATTCAAAGTCAAGTTCTCATGCTTGTAGAGCAAGTGCTCTTACCCTCTTTGTATTTGTACATACAGTGAGTATGTAGGGCATACCCCCGACTCCCAGATAACCCAGGAACGAACAGAGTCTTGTCTATGGCCTGGAGACCAAACTCAGAAAATTAAAACAGACAGACAGACATCTCAGAACCACGTCATGGCTAAAGAATCTAGTTGGATTCAAAGGTCAAGATGTCACATGAGTCACTGAGGGAAAACAGCTTCACCTTACTGTGATGTTTATTTAATTCCATGACTATAAACAGTGAGGCAGTCACCTGTGCGGCTAGCAAAAGAGGCAGTGTGTCTCATGAAACCTATAGCAGCATGAAATTTTGTAAGCCATGCTATTCAGCTGCCCTAAAATACCCCTGAATTCACAATCATTTACTTCTCCCCTCTCATTTACTGCTGATATGATGTAATTCATATCCTTGAAAGAGTTGAAGCAGTACATTATCACATATAGTGAAAATGTAAAGTATTTGTAACCATGCTATTTGGCTTTACAGAAAGTTAACTACTTTTTGACACATACTTAAGTTTTTTTGTTTGTTTTGTTCTGTTTGTTCGTTTGTATGTTTTTAGAATTTAAGATGTGTTTTCAAACTCTGATGGGTTTATTTCAGGTCCAAAAGACTGTGGACCCCCCCCCCCCCGGCAAAAATGGCAAATTGTAAATTAAATGATATTGGACACAACCATGTCCATTTTTTCATTTTATTTATGGCTTTTCTCTTGCTATGATTTCATGCTACAATATCTAGAGCTAGATAGTCCAAGCACAGATCATAATAACCTGCAAAGATTAAATATGTACTGTGTGGCCATTTATAGATAACTTTGCCCACCCCTCTACTGTACACGTTGTAAATGCCATGTGTTCTTTAAAAAGGTTTTGATGTTGTTTCTGTTATTAAATGATGATTATGTGAAATAGCTGTCCCTGTTATGGTTTTAGGCTACCAGCAGGTTAGCTCTTCATACAAGATCAAGATGGCTGAAGTTGGAGGATTGGCAAAAGCAATGATTCAATCCGTGCACTTGCTTGAAATTCAGCTCATTGAGAAACTTTGGGTTCTTAAAGTTCTGCAGCATCTTTCCACGTCTGGTATGTATCTTGTTGCTGAACTTAAACATCTTATTGTCCTTTTCTCTAACAGACTATGCAATATAAATAGTTGTTCAATTTAATTTTCAGAAGCTAATTGCACTTTAATGGTGAAATCCCAGGCCGCCAGCAGAATCTGTGCTCACCTCAATGACCCGGATCCCTCAGAACAGCTCCTATTTCGTTCATCAGAGATACTTTGGAACTTACTGGAAAAATCCTCAAAGGAGGAAATTATACAACAGCTTAGTAACTTGGAATGCCTGCTGTAAGTTTATGTGGCTAGATAGGAATGTCGTTTGCCTTGAACAATAGCAGTGATAGATATCTAATAACTTTGAATAACTATAACTGTGCTTCGTTGCCATTGTAGAAAGAAAAGAAGCCACACTTTTTTGTCTTTTTGTGAGTTCTGAGATAGGTCTCCTGTAGCAAGGCCAGCCTGGAACTTGCAATATAGTTGATTGAGGATTGTCTCCTTCCTTTTCTTCCCCAGTACTGGACTTACAAAGAAGCGTGTACTGCCATGTCCTGGAGAAGCCACACTGGTCTAGTAGGATGCTCTCAAAGTATTGTGCTATAGAAATAAAGTGTGCCGTTACAGATGGATAAAGTAAAACTGGACTTTCATAACTGTGTATTCATCAAATTTCTGATTAGTACTTAGTACCTTTCCAGTTCTATAATTAAAATTGTCAAAAGGTGTAAGTTTTCAAGTTGCTTACTCAATTATTCAATAAATGGTTATTGTCTATTGTGCTATGGTCAGTCTGAGATCATAAAAGTCTAACTAAAGGTTCTGTGTGCTAGAAATACACCTTTAATCCCAGAACTTGGAAGGCAGAGGAAGACAGAGCTCTGTGAGTTCAGAAGTGAGCTCCAGGTTAAACAGAGCTTCATAGTAAGAATCTATTTCAAAAACTAAAATAAAAATAAAATAGAAGAGTTGAAGAGATGGCTCAGCAGTTAAGTTCTTGCAGGGGACCTGGGTTTGATTCCTAGCACCCACATGGCAGCTCACAACCACTTGTAACTCCAGTTCTAGGGGATCCAATGCCCTCTTGTGGCCCCCATGGGTACTACACATGCATGTAGGGCATGTGAGCAAAACACTCATATATAATTAAAAATTTATTTGTTGTTTTTACATCCCAACCAATAAAATGAAATTTTAATTAAAATTTTAATTAAATTAAATTTTTAATTAAGAAAAACTAGAACATTTCATGGATTTTCATTTTAAAAATACTAGAACATTTCATGGCTGCCAGACCAGGTAAGACAGAAATTCCGTCATCAAACTTCTCTTATGTTTACAGAGAAAAGCAAGTACATAAACAATTAAAAGAAAGTATAATAAACATAATGAGACTTTTTGCAAGCTATCGAATCTTTTCCACAATAAGGAAAAGATTCCTACTGTCCTAGTTAGCTTTAACGGTTAACTTGGCACAGTCAGTAACTACTGAAAAGAGAGTCGCTATTGAGGGCTTGGTCAGATCAGATTGGCCTGTATGTCTGTGGGGGACTGTCATTATTGTAACTGCTCTAAGATGGCCCAGCCCACTGTGGGCAGCACCATTCCCTGGACAGTAGTCTAGGCTATACAAGACAGCTAGGTAAGCACAAGCCTGTGAGTGAGCCAGGGGAACATTGTTTCTGCTTCAGTTCTTGTCCTGACTTCCCCTCAGTCATAAACTGTGACCTGGAAATATAAGCCAAATAAATCATTTCCTCCTCTGAGTTGTTTTTGGTCAGTGTTTTATTACAGCAACTGAAAAGAAACTAGAACACTGACTGATGATGCAACTAGAAACAACAAAAACAAAAAAACAAAGAAAAAGCTGATTTCATAAGCCTCTTTGTTGAGACTGCAGAAAATGTGAGGACTTAGTGTCTATCCATGGTGCTGTCTTCACGCTTTTGGCTTCATCCTGGTAGAACAGTGGTTCGAATCCTGTGGCTCACAACCCCTTTTTGGGTAAAACCACCCTTTCACAGGGGTCATATGTCAAATATTCTGCATATCAGACATTTACATTAAGATTCCTAACAGTAACAAAATTACAGTTATGAAGTAGCAATGAAAATAATTTTATGGTTTGGGTCACCACAGCATGAGAAACTGTATTAAAGGGCAACGGCATTAGGAAGGGTGAGAAGCATTGCTCTAGAACCACAAGCCTGGGAGAGCAATTGCCTACTACACACAGACCCCAAGAGGCAAAAACAATGATTGTATGCTACAGAAGGAACCTGACCTGTGGTTGAGATGGTTTATGGGTCCTCTCACTCATTAACCTCAGCAGTATCTCAGCGATTAGTAGGTAATCAGTCACACAGAACAGTCTTTGGCAGAGATTATCTCACAGGAAAAGAGAAGTAAAACTCAGATTTAGAAAAAGTTAATACAAAGCTGAAAGTTGATAAGTATGAAAAGAGCAGAAGAGTGAGGCAGGCTGTTAGGAGCTGAGGCTACACAGAGAGCAAGAACCATGATGTCAGAGCCCTGGGAAGCTGGCTAAGAGATGACTTTATCCTCAGATTAAAGAGCAGCTGTGAGTGGCTTAACGTGACATGATTAAGTCTTGTGACAAAGTCATATCGACAACCGTGGGTTCTTATCTGGTTCATTGTCATGAATTAGAAGCAGGTTGGGAGGGATAAAAAGATGAGAAACACTTCGGTCAAAAGTTTAAAATTAAGAGTAGGAAATATGGTTGTATTTCCACAGAAATGTTTCTCAGTTGAGCTTTCCTTAACAGAGTGTCAGAGAGCTGTAGTTTATAAACAACAGTAACCTTTCTTGACAGTGTTAGAGGCTAGAAGTCAACGGAGGGAGCCAGCATGTCAGGGCTCTGGTAAAGGTGCTCTTCCAGATAGCAGACAGCTCACCACATAGGAACGAGTAATGAGGTAATTACCAGTATGGAGCCAGGTAAAAATATAAGGGTATTTATTAGGGAGATGCCTTACTTTCAGAGTAACCTAGCCAGCTGGCAGGGCAGGAGTAAGTACAGCAAGCCGAGGATGAAAAGGAAGAAGAGAGCTTCCACGTGCATTCCCCACACTCTTAAACCTTCCTCACAGGCGTGGTCAGGCATACCTGTAGCCAGCCCCTAGCAGGCATGGTTGCGATGTCCCCTACAGAAGATCTCTCTGTGGTTCCTGGTGTGAGGTCATTATTTGTCTGAATCCTTCCCCTAAGCCCACCTCCCCCACACTTCAGACAAGGGAGCATTTCAACAAACCAATTTTGAAGATGAGCAAACATTTTGCCTATAACAATATCATTTTTAATGTTTTATTTTCCAGGGCTTTGAAGGAAGTATTTAAAAATCTGTTTACCAAGGGCCAAAGTCATTATGACCGTCAGCTTAGAAATGATATATTAGTTATCACCACAATTATAGCTCAGAACCCTGGAGCACCAATGATTGTAAGTATGCATCAGATTGCATTAATTTTAATGGTAAAAGTGGTGGAAGTATTGTAAATCATGTTTTAGTGTTTATATGTTTTATTGCAGTGCTAAGTTGTATTTTAGTGCTCTGCCATTCTGTTGCATTCCTGTGCAAGTCTGGTATCCTCTTCATATTTCACTACTTACAGATTCATTATCTCTGATGTTTTTCTTTTTTTCTGTTCAGCTAGCTTCATTTCATTTACTTTTCTTTCTTTTCTTTTCTTTTCTTTTTTTTTTTAGATGAGGTTTCTCTGTGTAGATTTGTAAACCAGGCAGGCCTCGAACTCACAGAGATCTGCCTGCCTCTGCCTCCTGAGTGCTGGGATTAAAGGTGTGCACCACCACTGCCTGACTTTCATTTCCTTTTCAATAAAAGAATTTTGTTTATCATTTCATGTGGTACAAATGTGCTACCTGCTTTCAATAAAGTTTCTTTTATATGAAAATATCTATAATTCACCTTAATTCTTGGATTTTATGTTCATTGAATAGACTCCTAGGGTGAAACATTCTCTATTAGCACTTGAAAAGTAATTTCCCCATATTCTGCTCTCTGCTGTTCCTGGTAAGTACTTGTTACTTCAAATTCTTGCTTCGTATGAAAAGTGTTCTTTAAATTCTTTCTTCAAGATTTTCCCATCTGCCATTGGTGTTCAGCGGTTTTGGTACAATAGGCCAAGGGTGATTGATCCCTTTTGTGTTTATCCTTTATGGAGTTTCCTACTTGTGTAATTTTTTCATCCATTTTTTTACAAATTTGGGGTATTATTTTCATCATTAGCTTTTGTTTATTCTCTCTCCCCTCCTGTTCTGGCATTCCAATTACTTGTGCATTTGGTTGTTTTTTACATTGTCTCACATAGCTATAGGCTTCTGGTAACAATTTTCAATAATTTTTCACTCTAGTCCACAGATTGGATGACTATATTGATCTGTATATTTAAGTTAACTGACTTTCTCTGACACATCCATTGTACTGCTCATCCTTTTGTAGTGTGCTTTGATTCCAGATACAAGAATTGCTCTTTTTTAGTTCTGGATATCAATCCCAGAGCTTTCCTCGTGGTAGGCAAGGGTTGTAACACTGAGCTATACCCTAGTCCCCCTTGATTCCTTTTTACAGTTTCTACTTGTATGCAGAGTTCCTGTATTCCCTTTCATTATGAGTGTCTTTACTGTGGATTCTAACATAGACCTCTGAAGAGTACTTTTTCAGGTTTGTTATTTGTAAACATTGGACTTATCTACATCCATCCAACTATTCTAGCCATAGCTATAATGTGTAGAATTCTCTGTTTTTGGACAGGTGAAGCAGTCCTTAGAGACTGGGGAAGCTTATGTATGCATATTTGAGACCCCCTCCTGGCTTTCTCCTTTCTGAGACTGACCTTTCATTCTAGGGGCTGTGGGTTGCCTCCGTCCTCTGATTCATTGGCCTCCTCAGACTACAGGTTTCCCTTTGAATTTAGCATCCGCACAAGGTGTAGAATAGGGATTGCTGCCAGTTTTTAAAGGAGTTGGTATGAGAATTTACACACTGAATTCTTCTTTAGGCTTTATCAAATTTCCAACTTTCTTCCAATGTCTTCTTGCTTTTGGTTTGTCATAACTAACTGCCCAGCCATATCAGAAGCAATCCCTATATTTATTTTTATTTATTTTTTGGGTTTTGTGAGACAGGGTTTCTCTGTGGCTTTGGAGGCTGTCCTGGAACTAGCTCTTGTAGACCAGGCTGGTCTCGAACTCATAGGAGAACCACCTGCCTCTGCCTCCCGAGTGCTGGGATTAAAGGCGTGTGCAGAAGAGGCAGAAGAGAGTGTTGGAACACCTAGAGTTGGAGTAACGGGGGCTTGGGAGACACCTGAAGCAGGTTTTGGAAACTGATCAGGTTGTAAGACTCTTAACTTCTCAGCCATCTTTCCAGCCCTCCATGGACTAGAAAAGAAAACATTGAATGATTGGCGTCTTAAAATAGAGAGATTTTGCAGTAATATTCATGTATCGGCTATATTACTTTCTATATTAGGCTTCAAAGAACTTAGGTACAAAGTTCTCAATACCTGTCAATATACATCAAGTGGTCCAACACTAAAAAGTCATGAAATTTATACTACAAAAGTGTATAAACAGTCCATTAGAGTACCTAGTTAAGTCTACCATATGTAGGTAGACCTTATGTTTGTCTGACAGGCCATGGTCAATCGGTGAGTTCTTAGTTACACCATTGTAAACATTCCAGTAACTCTGTGAATATAAATCAAAGCAATAACATTTTTACATTTTTAAAGAAGCCATGAGAATCCTGAAGAAAAATCATGCCATAATTGCAAAGCCTGGTATTATTTCACCCTACAGCTCTCCTTATATACAAAGACCAATCACGTGTCTTTGCCAGGAGTGGGTTCCCTTTGCTGAGGTATTTGCAACTCTGGAAATCCCTCCCTGGGGCTTTTGTGTTAAGCAGCACTGTTTTGCTCTCTCTGGCTGTCCTTTGATGTAATGAGAGTGACTGGGATAAAGGCGGGATCGAAAGGAATAGCTCTTGAAAAGAATTGGATTTTCTCCCTTATGGTATCATTTAAAGGTGTAGAAAGTGAATCACAGAAGGAATGGGCAGACGTCTCACTCACTCTCAGATATCACATCAGAGATTCATGGGCTAATATAAAGACGTCACAGAAGCTCCGGAAGCAAGCTTAAATCCAGTCCATTCCAGTTGCCTAGTCACAGGCTGTTGCCTTTTCACTTTTATTCCTTAGTATTATAAAGTCAAATGAGTTAATTACGGTAAGGAGATTGGGCAGCAGCCGTTCAATAGCAGGCAAATATGGGCACCTGTAGCTCAATTGCCTCTCTAATTATTCACCTTTCTGTTTATTTTGTGTGTTTGTAATAGGAATGTGGCTTTACCAGAGATTTGATACTGTTTGCAACTTTCAATGAAGGTAAAACTTGTACCACCTTAAGCATTTTTTAAAGTGTCTCAATGAGTCTTAACGTATAATTTTAGCCTTCATTTCACTCTTTTTTTTTTTCCCCTCTCACAGTTAAAAGTCAAAATCCTTTGGTAAAAAGTCTTAAGCTTTCTAATTCCTATGAAGATTTTGAGTTGAAGAAATTGCTATTCAATATAATTGTGATCTTGTGTAAAGATTTAACTACTATACAGGTAAAGACTAATCAAAACAAAAAGTAATGAAAGCATCTCACTTTATAGCATAGTTTTTTAAAGTCATGATTGCAAATCTTTCATTAACCAACCCATATATCTATATCATAGAAAGTATCAAAGTTGTCAGCTTGAATTGTAGCCATTTAAATGTTGTTTTCAACATTAAACACAAAGGATCTACTTTGAATCACACCCACCCACCAAAATGAAAGTAGGAGCTCAGAGATCTATCAGTACATGCAGATCTCCTAACTAAGAACATAGTTCACACATCCCAGACCATCTTTCTAGTTCTCAATTGCTCATTCCAGGAAAGCCCTCTACCACTAAATCACAGACACTGTCCCCACATCAGCAGATAGCTTTCCTCTGATTATCAAGCTAAGGGATGATTAATGTTGAAGATAATTGCCGTCCTCTGTTAGGCCAGTCTCAGACACTCATGAACCCATGTTTTCTCCACACAAGCCTAACATCTTTAATTTTTATTCACTCATTTATCCTGCTGTGTTCATTATTTCACATGGGATGTAATTTGAGGAACACTAGGATTAAGTTCCACTTTTGTTTGTCACCTTTTGTGTGGCCTGTGCCAAGTTCCCTTCCCTGGGGGCTTAGTCCTCCTTTATAAAGCTGAGCACACTTGCACACAGGGCTTTCAAGAGCTTGAGGTGAGGCCTTTGCCAATCATAAAGCATTGGAAAGATGTATTATTAACTGTTCTGTGAGTTTAGCTCCTTGCTACATTCGTTAAGTGAAATTCCCTTCTAACCTGAAACTCTTTGAAGCTCTTTTCATGAAAAGGAGTGTTCATTCTATCAAGATAAGGACTGATGACTTAAAAAGGATGGGGTGGTGGGTAAGCTTTACTTGGGTACAATCCCATTGTGGTTACTTTCTAGGAGTGCTTTTGAGTGGAATAATTAGTTTCTCTAAATCCCGGGGAGTTCAGCTTCAGCGGAGGGTAACATCTACCTTGGGGATTATTATGAGACTTTATTATTATAACTGTTATTGGCTGTTAGACTATGAGAATTTAAAAAGGCTTGGCATCTTCTGGAGAATGACAATATATATTATATAATATCTATTATATATATGTGTGTGTGTTATAATTTTATCATTTGTATTAAATATATAATTATACCAATTATATATTTTTCTGAAGTGCTTAACAGAAAAATTCTTCCATAAATTATGCTTTATTGTTACAGTGGAGAATTACCTAAGTCTTATAAGTACAACTAATAATTAAAATTAATTCTACATTTTTCTCAAACAGTTTTCACTGGCTGAGTATTTTATAGACAACAGAGTCAAATAGCCAAAGGTTGTCATAAAATTTTGAAAATACATTGTGAACAATAGTGGAGCTAATTTTTGAGGTTATGTGACTTTGGTTCAACAATAATAAGAATAATCAATATGTGACTATCACAATTGATGGAGTATTTCAAGCCTTGTCCACTGGATTTTCACAGTGATGCTAAAACTAATACTCTTGCTCATATTTACTCAACTCCAACTTGATCCTTTTGAATATACACCATGAAGTGACACACTAGTGAATTCAGCAGAGAAGGTAAAAAAACAAAACTCATATTTGTTAGGAAACACTCTTTGAGGAGTAATTAATGCTAAGCAAGTAGAAAGACAGTATCATACAGGACATATACATATTGGTTTTTCAAGACAGGGTTTCTCTGTGTAGCATTGGAGCTTATCCTGGCCCTCACTCTGTAGTCCATCCAGGCTGGCCTCGAACTCACAAAGAACCACCTGCCTTTGCCTCCCGAGTGCTGGGATCAAAGGCATGGGCCACCTCCACCCCATACTCTTTTGCACTAAGTATACTTCAACCAGTGTCAGCTGTGTCATTGGTCATTTTATAATTATTCAGTTTTATTGAAATGCTAGGTTCAACAAAGTTATAAAATCTTAGAATGTCTAATTAAATATAGCTTGTGATCTGACTGACAGTCATTGATATATTGTATAAATTCTATCTTTTGTACTTCAGAAACAGTTTGTATTGCCCTGTTATTACCTTTGTAATCTTTGGAGGGCTAGAAGTGAAGCTTAACAGTAGGCTGTTTGACGAGTATGCACATGGCCCTGGGTCTGATCCCTAGCACTATAACAAAACAAAATCAAAAGCAAATGAAGAATGGGGAAAGAAATGCCATCCATTTAGTTTCCTCCAATTTCCTACCTCTGCTTTTATTGTATGTAGAAACAAATACATGGGCTGCATCAAAAATTAATTAGTGTGTATTTTCTGTTACTGTCACCCAAGGAGCATGTCACCCAGGCTTACAGTCACCGGGCTGCTGTTGATGATAGCCATTGTCGCCTTTTTCATTTCTGTGGGTGGGGTACTATCATGGACACGAAGGAAATACTTTGAAATTATCACTAAAACATCACATTTGAAGTCTTGCATTTAATTTTGCTAGATGAAATAAAGATGTTTTAATTAGGCTGCTAACAAAGTGCATTTTGCCCCTTCTCACAGCTATTAATCGATGGCAAAGTTATTTTGGCGCTGTTTACCTATGTCAAAAAGCCTGAGAGACTCAAGATCATCGAGTGGTCTGCGGCGCAGTATGAAGAGCTACAACTGCACGCGATTGCCACCTTGTCCTCAGTGGCGCCTTTGCTAATAGAAGAGTACATGTCATGCCAGGGCAATGCTCGAATCCTTGCCTTTCTAGAGTGGTGTGAGCACGAGAGTGAGTGCCCGGCAGGGCCCTGTCAAGACTCTAGTCTGTATTTCAACTGAACTCTCAGTATTTGTATAGAAAAAGCAATTGATAAATTTTTTAGTGCATTTAAATGTCTTCATGAGCACTGAGATTTTAGGGCTAGAGATTTTCGGGCCTCAGCACTTCATAACACAGACTTCTTGCAGATCTGAGTTTAGCTCCAAGCACCAATGTCAGGGAGGTCACAAATGCCTCCAGCTCCAGTTCCAGGGGATCCAGGCGCCTCTACAGGCACCTGCATTCATGTGCACAAGTCCCCACAGAGGGACACACACTTATACATGATTAAAGATAAAACAAACCTTTTGATAAAAAGTGAAATTTCAAAGTCAGATATTAACAAAGATCTTAGATATAATTAACAAACATTTAAAAGTAATTGTGTGTGTGTGTGTGTGTGTGTGTGTGTGTGTGTGTGTGTTTTTATTTAAAGTATTTGCATTAGGCAGCCTATAAAAATTATACTTAGGAAAGAAATAGCAATATCTGGACAATAGTTTAATATATTCACTCAACAAACATTTATTGAGTGTCTACAAAGTACTAGATGCTACTTCAGCTGCTGAAAATACATGTAGGCTTAAAATAGACGCCAACCCACAAATAACTTCATAAAAATTTAAAATCTAGGTTTCTAGCCAGAATCACTAACTCTGAGAGATAGTCTATCAAGGAGAAGAGCCTCAATTATAAATGTTATTTTATTGAATTCTTAAAAGGAAATAAACATACTCATGAACATAAACATTCAATAAGGAGGAGTGTTGTGAAAGACACAATGATGTCTATGGGTAAATCATTTGAAACGCCACCTTTCCATTCTGAGACCAGAAACAGAGTGAAGGGATAATATTTCTGTAAAAGCAAAACAAGCAACCCATGCCTGAATTTTAACATCTGTTTAAATATTTAAAAAATCTGATGTGTTGTTTTTAAATGAAAGCATTTGCTTGATAGGTTGTATGCTTTACGTTTCTGGGTTACAAACTCAATGGTTACTTTCCCCACAGATTCCTGCTTCCTTCACGGAAACAGTTTTCACGGGACAGGTGGCCGTGGAAACAAGTACGCGCAGATGCGTTATACTTTACGACTCCTCAGAGCCATGGTTTATCTTGAAGATGAGATTGTAAACACTGATCTCTGTGAAAGGGGGGTTATTCATCAACTAATAGGTAAAGTATTCCATGGCAGCTCACTGGGGAAAAGTAGGGTGTTTATAATTCTTGATGTTTCATATGAGATATTTTCCTACAAATTCATTTTATGAATGAGATTATCCTGAAAGTTTTCCTGGTTTTTGTTTCATCTTGTTGATGTCAATCAGTTCTCTTTTTATTGAAATAACATAGTCAATAATCCTATAAACATTTATTTCCTCAGTTTAGAGACGTTCATTAGCAGTATCTTTTTAAATCTAAATGAACTATTGTTATGTTTCATTTTTGTGGTAATGAGATTACCACTTCTGGCCTAGTGTTTGTAGAGCCATTTTCAAAGAAGATGAAGTTACATTTTCCAGTCCATTCAGAACACTGAAATGCTGGGGCACAGGGAGCAGAATCCAGGAGTCTCTTTTCTACTGTAAATACTAGAAAATTCAGGAATTTCAACATCTAGTTCAATCTTCTTTGCCCTTTATTATTTAAAAAATACATAATCCCCAGCCCTGCCTTTCCTGGTTTTGAAAAGCGTTGTCTCAGGCTCCATGTAGATGTCATGTAGTTGGCCCTCTGTAGCTTTCCAAATCCACATACTCAACCAACCAGAGGCCAAAATTACAGAAAAGAAGGGGGAAAAAAGTGTGTGTTTGAGCACAGAAAGACTTTTCTTGTCATACTCCCTAAGTAGCAGTTTATAGCAAATATTAGCATTTCCACTGTATTAGGAACTGTAAGTGATCCAGAGGTGATTTAAAGTATACATGCATGTACGGTAACGTGCAGATACTGCTCTAGTTTGTGTTAGGGAAGTAGGCGGCCCTGAATTGAGGTGTCTGGGAAGCATCTATACTCAACTCTTGTTAGCTGTCTGTCACTGACGAGGATGCCTGGAGGAACCGTTTGGCTCACAGTTGCACAGGTCTCTATTCATGCTAATTTGGCTTAATGTTCGGAACCTGTGGTAAAGCATTATGTCTTGGTGGCCTGGAAGTGAAAGAGAAACAGGAAGAGACCGGGTTCCCATCATCCTCTCTTCCCTACTACCAAAACTTGACACCACTTCCCAACCAATGGGCTTTTGAGGAGTGTTCAAGACTTAAATTGAAGCACTACTGGATGTCAACTAATTGCAATATGCTTTAAAAAATCCTCTACTAACCAAAATATTTCTCATTCATCACTGGAAGAGGGATCATGCCCTCCAATTATAATACTTATGAGAAAACAAACAAACATATATATTGAGACAGGGCCTCACTGTGTAGACAAGCTCGGCCTTACACTCATACCAATTCACCTGAATTCTGGAATTAATCCATCCCCAATTTTAAAACCAATAAATTGAAAGCAGAGTTATGTAACAACATTTAGTTTTATTCCAGATGGGCTTAAGATGACTTAATATGAAAGTACATTTTAATCACAGCTGTGCCTGCCACTGCACAGAACTCAGTCCAAATGTCCCATGTTAGCTGGAAATGCAATAGTTGTACATTCAGGGCGAAATCTGAACCCTGCCTGAGCTGAGGGAATGTGTTAAGGGGAAGCATAACAGACAGCAAGAGTTCTCTCAGGACATTTTCCCTTCCATTCAAAGCTGATCTCTGTTACAGAATTTTAGATTCAGTCACCTTGTCTTTTTAACCTAGCAGAGCTTTGTAGAAGCTGCATCCTCAAAAATATAGAAATACGGCTTTGCAAATACAGTGTTTGTGTAAATATGCTTTCTCCTCAGACAGAGGTTAGAAACCATATCAGACAGAATGCTGGGGAACCATGGCCTGATGAGAACAAGAGAAAATAGCATGTCTTCTGTACCCTCAGCTAGGCACCTAAAGTGTAGCAAAAAAAGAGTAAATATTATGAAATCTAAAGAGGCTTAGTTATTCTCAAACTTGGGCGGTCTTCACTGGAGCTTCACTGGATGACAGCTTCAAGAAAGGAAGAAAAGGTTGTTCTCTGAAGCAAGGATGTATCATGAGCAGAGGTGCAGTATTGAAATATGCAGGGCAATGTATTCAGAGAGGGCCTAAGAGGGCCAAGCTTAATAAAGCAAATGCGATGACTGAGCTAACCGCATAAGCACTGAGCAAGTTGGGAAAAAGTATGAATGGTAAATAATGGTTTGAATTCCATCCTTCATGGGGATAGAGGGGTTTTGCTTAGTGAGTCTGAATGTGTAGTCCTGCAGGCTTTTTAGTTTTAATTTAATTGAATTTTGTGTGTATATATGTATGCGTAGTCTGTGTATGTGTGTCTGTGCATCCGTGCATGCATGTGTATGTAAATGTGTGTATGACCGAATTGCCACAGTGCACATGTGGAGATCATAGAACATCTTTGTGGAGTCTCTTCTCGCCTTCCATCACTTTGCATAGGTTCCCAGAATCAAACACAAGTTACCAGGCCTGTGCAACTTAGCATTGTATACACAGGGCCATCGTCTCCTGGCCCTAATGCTATGTGTTAGAAAGAATGGGAGTTCAAGTACCTAAAACTGAGGAAAATAATTCTTTATTAACATACCGTGTGCTCCAGATCACAAGCCCACCCATAAATTCTATCCCAGATAAGGAATTAAGGTAATCTTGAAAAGAGAATGCAACCAGCAATTAATGTAGGTAGCTCTGGTAAAGGAGCACAGACTCCTCTGAGCATGGGGTGCCCCCACACTGCAGACCCCTCTGAGAACATGGTGCCCCTACACTGAGTCTCTAGCAGGTTCAGCCCTGCTCCTTGAAGTCTCATTGTTCACCCTTCATCCTAAAAGGATAGTTCCATAGTGCCATCTATGACAAAAGGCTTTTGGCTTCTTTGGGAACAACAGCTCTGTAGCTTCCTGATAGTGACAGTGTCCTCTTTACCAGTGGAAACGAGAGTTCCTAAATTCTTAAAGCCTAAACGAAATGCCTTCTGAGAGTTTTTATTGTGAATGTCATTTGTTCAGTGATAATGACTGCTAAGTCATTTTCAGGCTTGATTACAAGAGGAGGATTTTTAAATCTGACAGCCTGTGGCGTTGTTGTCTTCATGTAGAAGATACAGAAAGAAACAGCAGGTAGAACACACAGAGAGGTCCCCCAAATTTGTTACCAATTAACCACAAAGAAAGGACAACCTACAGTCAGACATTTTTTTTTTCAAGACAAATTTTTTCTGTGTAGCCCTGGAGGTCCTGGAACTCACTGTAGACCAGGCTGGCCTTGAACTCACAGAGACCTGCCTGCCTCTGCCTCCTGAGTGCTGGGATTAAAGGTGTGCACCACCACTGCCAAGCTACAGTTAGATATTTTGATAATCAGCATTTTTTTCTTTCTTCTTTGTGTTTTCCACTTCCCACATCTCAATGGCATTCATTTCCAGTCCCAGCTGGGTGGTGGTGCCTGCTGCACCTCTGTCTGCAGGGTCAACTCTACCGGGCTGCTTTGGTGAGGCACAGGGGCCACTCTCCCAAGTGCTACAGCTGGTGAGGGGTTGGGTAAGATCCTCCACCTACTGCAGGTGTTGAGGGGCAAGCAAGAGGGACATCTTTTCCTCAGTCATGCCACCACATGGCAGATGAGAAGGGTGTGACCCGTTCTCCCATTCTTGCCCATGCCTCTGTGAACATGGTCAGCTCTATTGTGCTGTCCAGGTGAGGTGTATGGCTCTCTCTCCTGAGGGCTTCAACCAGCGAGGGGCAGGACCAGTTCTCCCTAGTGTTGCAGCCAGTGAGGGGAGGGGCCAACTGTACAGTTCTAACGTCTCAGCCTTTACTGCTATCAGGAGCCACAGAAACAGAAACAGCAGCTGCATCAGGGCCAGAAACCCAGACATGGGCCCCAGCAGCAGCCCAGGCCTAGACATCACCATGGCCATGGTGGCAATCAAGCCACTCACCTCAGCCACTCCTCACCTCTTTCTCCTCTTCAGATATGTCTCTAACCACAGGACATAAACCATTCTCCCATACCACACTACACATTTGCTCACCATAATAGTACCCATCTGTCCGGCAATACAAGGGGCCAGGTGGACCTGTGCCTTCTCTACTGAGCCCAGGGTTAGACTACCCGAGACCTGTGTGGGGGCCTCCTTGTCACTCAGTCTGTAATCAAGCTGGGCAAGCCCATTCTTCCTCAGCGCAAAGATATCACAATAGTTCCCAACTGCCTGGCACTTCTGGTTGGTGTGGAGGTGCTGCTGGAGTCCTTTTGCAGGCCGGAGCTAGGATACCCCACACACACACACACACACTGTGTTTGGTTGCGTTCTGCCTGCTGCAGCTGCATGGGGAAGAGAGTGTGGCTCAAAACTACATGTTTTTAAACAAAATTTGTTGGTCAAAATATGAATGTTATGCCAAATTTGTGAGACCCCAAAAAGACCACCAAAGAGCTAACTCACCAATGCAAATGCATAAGGTTTATTGTTGAGTCACAAGCCTCAGCAGGGACTAAAAACTGGCACAGCAGCTGCAGGAAAAGGGTGCTGGCCTCAATTGCAAAGAGTTTATAAAGGAAAAAAACTGCAAGCAGGGTGGTACATGCCTTGGCTGTTCAGGATTGGATAAGAGTAGGTGACCTTTGGATTCATTGTCATGAGGGCTAGGGGCATTTCAAAATTGTTGCTAATGGTTGCCCACAAGGAAGGGTGGTGAGAAGATGCTGTTTACCAAAATTAGTCATTGCCTGGCCACCCAGATGGGATCACTTTGATTAGGGTGAGCACAGTTTGGGTGCTCCTTGGAACTGTTTATGGTTCTTTGGCTGGAGCTCAATCAGCCTTGTGCCACACAGGGAATTTCTCAGTTGGCTTTTTCTGAGGATGGAGTTAACTCCATCCTCTCTACTTTACCTTGCTCTTACAATGAAGTTGTTAGAACATCATTTAGTGACATTCCACTAATCCTGTGCTAACATTTCTTCATGAATAACACTGATAATTATATTAAGATATTCTCTATCAATGGGCTGTATATGTATATATGTAGAAATTCTTTGTGAGACGGCTGACTTAAGTGCTTATGAAATCCATTTTCCACCCTCTGTCAACAGCTTCTATGTTACTATGCAATGAAAACAGCCCCTTCTATAGTAAAATACTTTCCCTAGCTGAAGATTCTTCCTGAAGGGGGGTTTCCTAGCAGTAAATAACCAAAAATTCACCAGGGTAACTATATTCTTCCATTTTTCCCATGCCAGGAATCTTTAAAACTATGGCAAGCAGACCCGATGAAAAGGAAGATGCCATTGCCTTGGAGATCCAGTCTGATGCTTTGCTCATCCTGTCGGGGCTCTGCGAGCATTATATTCAAAGGAAGGTGTGTGATGCCCGTGAGCCTGCACTGCAGGTCTCCCAGTCTCCTAATGGTACACTCTCCTAGGTGTCCATGAATGTTGCCCTCTTTCCTGATCCTGTAAAATATGGGCTGCTGTCATGGCTTAGCAGTTAACCACACCGCTGCTAAGCCTGACAACTGAGTTTCATTTCTGCAATACACATGACAGGAGAAAATTGTCTTTGACTCCTAAACAGACATCATGACACACGCCTGCCCACACACATACGGAATGAATAAACAAAATTTAAAAACCTAACCAAACTTTAATACTTTAATGAAAGTGCAAACACAGTGAAATACACACAGCTTCAATATATATTTTAATAGGTTTGGTAAATGTATATAACATATTTTACCAATACTCAAATTGGAAAATGTAATATGCATCTCTCCATACAATCTCATATAGGTATCACATTGACTCATGTGCTTTGCAGCCACCCCCTATTTGCCTATAGATTAGTTTTGCCAATTCTTTTTGTTGTTGTTGTTGTTGTTTGTTTGTTTTTTTTTTTTGAGACAGGGTTTCTCTGTGTAGCTTTGGAGCCTATTCTGGCACTCGCTCTGGAGACCAGGTTGGCCTCGAACTCACAGAGATCTGCCTGCCTCTGCCTCCCGAGTGCTGGGATTAAAGGCATGCGCCACCAATGACCGGCTGCCAATTCTTTATATTAGTGAAATCACACAGTGTTTCCTCTTCTGTGTAACTGGAGTTTCTTTTCTGCCTGGTCCCGTCTCCCTTGAGCCCCAAATAAACACAGGGATGCTATATTAATTATAAAACTGTTGGGCAATAGCTAGGGCTTCTTGTTGGCTAGTTCTGTCTTATTTATTAACCCATTTCTATAAATCTATGTATTTCCACATGGTCTTGGCTTACTGGAGAATTCCCGGACCTGTTACTCCTTTAGCTGCTACATGGCATCTCCTTACGGTGCCTCTCTGCCTACCTTTCCCAGAATTCTCCTCATCTCCTACTCCCGCCTATTTTCCTGCCTCTATTGACCAAACAGTGTTTTATTCATCCACCAATAAGAGAAACATATATATAGAAGGACATCCCCCATCACTTCTGTGTGTTTTTTGTTATCCAAAAAGAAATAGGTATTTCTGAAATATCTTCATATTGTTGCATGCATCATTCCTTTCTATTCCTCAATAGTATTCTATGAACTATTAGCATGTGTATATCTTTTATCTTATTAATAAGCACTTAAGCTGTTTCTATTTGGATGGGTTAAAACTAAAGCTTTAGGGAATATTCTCCACCTTGTCTTTTGGGGGATGTAATGTTTTCATTTCTTCTGAGTCAAAACATAGTAGTAGAATTACAAGACCTAAAGTAGTCAAACAGCTTTCCATCCTAGGCTGTAGTATCAGAAATATCACTTGAAGTTTGAAATGTCTTTATATCTAAAATTGGAACTTCAAAACTAGAGTTTAATTCCCTTTGATACTTACTAGCTTCAAAGAAAACCATTAAGTTCATAAATTGATAATTTAGATAGGAAGAGATAGGGTTGGAGAAATGAAAATTAGAAAGATTTAGATAGATTTTTAAATTTTAAGACTTATATACTTTATGTGTATGAGTGTTTTGCTCACAAGCATGCCTGTATACTATATGCATGCCTGCTACTCAATGCCAGAAGAGAGAACTGGCTCCCCTGGAACTGCAGTTATGGGTGCTTGTGAGCTGCCATGTGGGTGTTGGGAATTGAATCTGGGTCCTCTGAAAGAAAACAATTGCTCTTAATTGCTTAGCTGTCTCTCTAGCACACTAGATAGATTTTTCAAGAGTGGCAATAGGAAGAAAAAATGGTTTAGTTCTGAGCCTTGACATATAATGTACTATTATTTTCTGTACTGTGCCTGCTCGTCTAGAAAAAATAATCTTGATCAAAATGGGAACGAGAATAGAGCAACATGACAGTGAGAAAAATAAATGGTAAGGGAAAAAGACTGAGTGGTAATAATTTTATATAAATCACTAAAAGCTGAGTAGCCGTTTATCTACTTATTCCTGTTTTGAGAACATAATAACATCTTCCATGATCCATACTGATGTCTGCTCTTCATTTGGCATGATTGTGTTCACTCTAATGTGGAAAAAGTCATGGGCAAGTTTTACATGGTTTATATTATTCAGACACCGAAAAAACTACTCAGAAAAATTTCCTCATTATAAGAAAAATTATTATTAACCTAACACATTTTGATACCCTCTTAAAGTAGTTGACATTATAATAATTTACGACGAAGAACTAGGAATGAATGAATACAATTTTTTAAAAAGCTTACTTTTTTAAATTTATATTTATTTTATGTGTATGAGTGTTTTGCTTCTGTGTATGTACATGTGTGCCTGGTGCCCTAGGATCTCAGATGAAGGTTTCAGAGTCTCTAAAACTGGAGTTGTGGATGACTGTGAGCTACCATGTTCTGGAACTTGAACCCATATCCTCTGGAAGAGCAACAAGTGCTCTAAACTGCCAGGTCACCCCTCCAGCTCCAAATGAGTGCAATTTTTAATTGTGTTAAAACTCCCAGTTTAGAAACTAACAAACCTAGCTTATAAACAACTAAACAATTGCTAGCATTGTTTTTCTGGTAGAAAAAAACCTTAAGGGATAGGATGAGGTAGAGAAGAGAAAAATTACATATTTATTCTAGGAAATGACATAAACAACTCTCTTTAACAGGAAATGTTTGGAACTGAAGGAGTTGATATAATTCTTCATGTAATGAAAACAGACCCCAAGAAGTTACAGAGTGGCTTAGGCTACAATGTCCTTCTTTTCAGTACCTTAGACAGCATTTGGTGAGTATTACTATGACCAAGTGAACACCCCAGCATAAGAAAATTACATTTACAGCTACCAGCTTTCTCCCCTCAAAATCCCACTAGAGGGATAAGTTGGTGCCTTCTCTGTTTATCTGACCTAAACATGAGTTTGAAAAGTAACTAACATATCACTCAAGTAGAAAAGCCACTTGTTTCAAAACTTAGTAACTTGTTGTGTTCTAATCCCATTCCACTTTGGTGTCAGCTAGGAAAACATCCCTAAGCAGCATGATGCTGCTGCTGCTGATTCTGCCTTGGCTCTCTTAGGCACTGTGCTCTGTTCCACTGACATTCTCCTAGCCTTCCTGTAATTTTGTGTTGTTTAAATAATTATGCCTTTAAAATATATCTGGACATTTGATACAACAGTTACTTTTTCTTGTTCTTCTTAGCTGTTGTTGATAATTTAGACGCATTAATGTCGTCAGAGTTCTCCAGAGAAATAAAATTAATAGAAGTTACATAGAGAAGAATATTTATTATAGGAATTGGCTCAGTTATAAAGGTTGAAAAGTTCTAAGCTGAAAAAAAATAAATCTAAACATCTAACTTTGCTTCTTTTCCAATTGCTGTGACAAAATACCCTGGACAAAAGCTACTTAAGGAAGAAAGGGCTTATTTTAGCTCCTAATTCGAGGTTCCAACCTATCACTGAAGGAGTTGTCAAGGTGTCAGGCATTTGAAGCAGCTAGTTACATAACATCCACAGGTAAAAGCAGACAGAGAATAAATGCATGCATGTTTGTGCCCAGCTTGTTTTTTCCATTCTTAGATAGCCCAGGGAATGGTGCCACCCACAGTGGATGGGTCTTCTCATCATAGATAATGTAATCAACATAATCCCCACAGACTTGCCCAAGCCAACCTGGTCTCTTGTTTTCAAAAGGAAGGAATATAAAACCAAGGAACAGAGGAAGCTGTCATTAATGCTTGGAAGAAACAGATAAAAGTCTGTTACTAATGACTACCATCTTTCCCTACTATTGGTGATAGCTTAGACAGCCTATTAAGGAAACTCTAAGGAAAACAGTGAAAGCAGCCATGGAAAAGTTGTAGCCCCTCACTTCACACAGTCCACATGGACTTGAATAGTAGGCACTTTAGCAAATGTCAACTGCCATGATAAATGTGATCAAGAATTACCAAATATCTTAGTTGTGCCAAACTATAAAAGAGATGATAAACAGTTATACTTGAAGATGTAGTTATTACAGCAAGTTGGGGTCTTTAAGAATCACCAAAGCCACAAAAGTAAAGGAAGAAGTTGCAATACAACAAAGAAAATTGTAAAGAATTAATTGGTTTTAGTCTTTAAAAAAATTGTAAAAGTGCATGTCGATCTTCCAGAGGACCTGAGTTAGTTTCCCAGCTTCTAGATCAGGTGACTCATAACTGCCTGTAATTCCAGCTCCAAGGCACCAGACACCAACCTCTAGCCTACACACACACACACACATACACACACACACAAAAAAAAAAAAAACCTTGAAAAAGATAGTTGAAATTAAACTGCACTTATAAAGCTTCTTCTGAGTTTTAATTTTTAAAGTAAAAACAAAGTGGCTACTTGATTTAAAGGAATAAAGTTAAAAGCCTAGGCTAGCAATGCTTTGATAGGAAGAAGGTCTACAAGCTAAATCTAATGACGGATGTTTGAGGAATGACTGGCTTTCTTTTCATCGAAGGTGCTGCATTTTGGGATGCTATTCTTCTGAAGATTATTTCCTTGAAAAGGAAGGGATTTTTCTCCTTTTGGATATATTGGCAGTAAGTAGTGTCCACAACACTCTCACACAAAAGATAAATATATGTCTGTGCAAACCATTCCCTGACCAAGTACCAGAAAACAGTGCTTTGTGAATAAATGTGTCCCTCATCACGTGCAGCTAGCTATATTGGGGGTTGTTTCTTTGTTTGGGGTTTGGGGTTTTTGAGACAGGGTCTCTCTCTATGTAGTCCTAGCAGTCCTAGAACTCACTGTTATAGATTAGGCTGGCCTTGAACTCACAGAGATCTTTCTATCTCTACCTCCTCAGTGCTGGGATTAAAGGCATGTGCCACCACACCCAGCCAGATAGATACATTGGTTTAAATAAAATCCCTCCTGCAGATTAGGAAGCATTAGCATATTAAGGATTCTGAACACTCCTCCAGTTAAGGCATCAGTTTATAGAGGTCGGTGTTCCCAAACATAGGTGAGCAGACTTTTTTCCCTACTACTCTATCAACCTGCCAAGAGACAGTTAATTATTTTTGTTCTTTGACAATTCTTTGCATGTATATACTGCAACCTCTTTATTCTTATCCCTCACCCTCTATTTCCTCCTTTCTGTCCTAGTCATTGTCCCCTACCCCTGTAAATTTCTTTCCCATATTTGTAGATTTTTGTTTTGTTTTGTGACCCATTGGTTTTAATCAGGACTATCTATATGGCCACAGATTAGCTGAATCCACTGAAGCCTGGTAGAATCAATATTGGGTACACAACTGAAGACAATGACTGACCTTCCCAGTATCTATCAGTAACCAGTAGCTCAGCACAGAAAGGTAGGGCCCCATGGCCACATCTCTGATCTCTGATTGGTTGTTGCCAGGCCCAGTGTAGGCAAACATGGCTCTTGTGCGGTCATGTTTGCAATGGCTGTGTCATGTTCTGAAGATAATATTTTGCAGCCCTTCTTCCTGTGACCCACTTCTTATAATGTCTCTGTTTCCTTTGCCTCAATGCTCCCTAAGCTTTAGAGGGGATGCCACAAACATCCAGTTTAGAGATGAGTATACAGCTATCACTTATTGCTAGGGCTTTGACAAGCTATGAACATCTGTATTCATCACTGTTGACTACAAAGAAAAGATTCTTGATTTAAGATTGAAGAGCATTGGCCTATGGATATAAACATCAATGTTTAGAATACAGTTAGACACCATATTACTTTAGATAAACAGTAATAAATTACCCCTAGGGCATGTGATCTTCTCAGCCATGATTTCTCTCTGGGTTTATAGTACCATGCAGATACCTCCTGTGGAGAATGCCTCAAATTCAATCTGAGTGTTTTTGGTTGCCCCATAAAAGTTGTACCAGTAAACACATCTTGCTTGGCAGGTTAACACTGTAGTTTGCAGGTCTATCTGGGAAAGACCTCTGATGCCTTTTCACCCCCCACAGCCTACATAGGGGCTTCTGGCACTGTCAGGCAGCAGGATGGAAACTTGCAACTCAGTTCTAGCTTGGTTTCCCTACATCTTGCAACCAAGCTGTTTGGTGTCTTAAGCAATAGAATCTTATCATCTGGGTCTGGTGAGCAAGCAGGAGTCCATATGGTTTTGTAGATCTCTGGAGCCTTACTGGCCAGCAACCCATGAAGAGTGCCACATCCTTCCTGGGAATTCTGTTTAATTAACAGAGGTTTCTAGGAGCTGCAATATCCAGCCATTCAGATATCCCCATCTAACTTTTTAAAAACGTGGTTTTAGGGCTTTTTGTAGATTTATTTTACGTAAATGAATGTTTTGCCTGCATGTATGTATGCATATCGTGTGCCTGCCTAGTGCCCACAGAGCTCTGAAGAGGCCACTAGATCCCCTGGAGCTGGAGCTGTGGATGTCTGTGAGTTATGTGGATGGCGGGAATCAGAGAGAAATTGTTCTTAACCACTGGGCTATCCAGCCAGCCTCTTACCAGGTTTTAATTGGCTTACAAAATAGTAGGGTTCCATATGGCTTTTTCATACACCCCTCATTTTGGTCAACCTTTCTGGCCTCCCCTTCTTTTCTGTCTCCTTTCTCTCTCCAGTATTCTTTCCCCATCTCTTTCATATCACCCATGTTTTATAAGCCCCCCCCTTTAAAGCCCCTAATTCCCAACTGGCACCTTTCTAGCTCACTAACTTCTACAGGTCCAAATTAAATGTATAAATCTGAAGTTTCAAAGTTAAGATTGGATTTTCTACATCTAAATTCTGTATTTTGGTTAAAAAATATGCATGCTTGATGATAAGAGAAATTTTCTTTAATTCTTGAAAGTTCCTATATAATTACTGAAAGAGCACAGATTTACACATCAATTTAAGCTTTTTCATATTTGACTGCTACAGTTATATCAGTTGTTCTCTTGATAATGAAGAGTGTAGTCAATAATAATCTTTGCAGACCTTCATAAAGCATATAAATGGAGACAACCCTGTACTCACAGTGAACTGTCCCCAATAACTATGCTCATACATAGATTCTTTTCTTTTTTGAAAACTTCTCCTTCTATTTCCACCAAATGAATGCATTTTTACTATGAAGTGTGTTTCTGACTACTTAAGAATTATATTAAATCTCTTTATTGTTTTTGAGTTTTAGTATTTGAGAATGCTCATGAGTGACTTACTAGATATTGTCACCATCAGAGAGCTCAGCAGGAACTGGCTGATAATCCAAGTGTCTCTTTCAGTAAGACAGTCATTCTTAGTATTCATTAACATTTGTGTCATTTTCTGTTCCCTTGCAAAGCTGAAGCAAAAGAAATTCTGTAATCTGATACTTGGAATAATGGTTGAATTTTGTGATAATCCCAAAACCTCTGCTCATGTCAATGCTTGGCGAGGGAAGAAAGACTTAACTGCTGCTAGTCTCTTAATTAAACTGTGGAGAAAGGAGGAAAAGGAACTAGGAGTAAAACGTGATAAAAATGGCATGATTGTTGGTAAGTATGTTCATAATTTTTGGTAGAAACAATTAAAGGTGTATCTGTAGAGTTTTAAAGAATGTAGGAATTGAGGATACTTCCCCCATTTTATGGGGTGCCTCCAACAACATACTGAAGACTTTCTATCATAAATTGTGAATAATTGGAGTCTGAGGGGATAGTTCTGTCAGTTAAGTGCTTGCTGGACCAGAGTTCTACCTTAAAACCACAAAAAAAAGAAAAGAGAAAAAAGCCAGGCATAGCCAGGCGTTGGTGGCGCATGCCTTTAATCCCAGCATTCGGGAGGCAGAGGCAGGTGGATCTCTGTGAGTTCGAGACCAGCCTGGTCTACAAGAGCTAGTTCCAGGACAGCCTCCAAAGCCACAGAGAAACCCTGTCTCGAAAAACAAACAAACAAAAAAGCCAGGCATAGACCTAGCTCTGGGGATTCAGACTCATCCCCAGGGTTCACAGTCAGGCCCACAGAACCATGTATCCAAGGGCCGGTAACAGACTCTGTCTCAGAACAAACAAACAAAATAAAAAAGTAAACAAAATATAGGTTTCCTCTCACTTGCTCTCTCTCTCATTAATAAAGTAAGAAATTGTGAATAATTAGAAGAAAGTTAAGTAAGTGGGCGTATTTTTTACAGAATATTTTAAAACATGATATTTACCTATATTCTTTAACTCAGAAATTAATGTTACTTCTTAAATAAATCTATTTGGATTTCTTGCTTTTATAACTAGGTTTGGTGTTTCATTTAGCAATAAAACAATGCCTAAGTGAAGTGTTTGACACATTCTTTACAGTAATCCGTGCACTGGTGTTTTTGTATTTTCTTTCTTACACAAAAGAGATTGCTTTCTAGTAAAATTAAGTCAGATGTTCATCAGTGTTAAGTGCCATAGTCTAAAGAGGCTGATGGAATCAGTGTGTGATTGACTTGTAAAGTCTAATACTATATTACATCTTCTGAACCCTTCACACTGTCTTTTAGTAAAAAAAAAAATATGCTAGTAATATCTACTATTAAATAAAAATACTGCCACTTCAAATTATTTCTGTCTCTAATCCCTTTTTACTATCTGAGTTTTAAACCAAAACATTATGAAACAGCTTTTCTCTTCCTGGCATAATTTATAGAAACCAATCAAAATTGTTGCATTTCTATTGATCTGACATCAGCCCATCTCTGTAACTTTAAATTTAACAAAATTTTTACATTGAATTTTCATCTTTAGAGAAGACAGAACTGTAGGCTGGAGAGAGGGCTCAGCAGTTCAGAGTGCTGGCTACTCATCTAGAGGATCTGAGTTTGACCCAGCAGCCAGGTCAGATGGCTGACAACTGCCTGGACCACCAGCTTCTGAAAGCCAGCACCCTCTTCTGGCCTCCACTGGCACTCCCATACATGAGGCATACACACCCAGACATACACACATAAATAAATCATTTAAAAAATTAAAACTATAGCTGTGGGTTTTTTTCCTGTTGAGACAGAGTCCCTCTATGTTGCCACTATTGTCCTGAAACTGTATGTAAACCAGGTTGACCTACACTACTTCCCACATGTTGGGATTAAAAGTATGCACCCTTATGCCTGGAGTGGCTATAATTTTTTACGTTACATGAATAAGAAAAATGAAAGCCATAAGTTTTGCCACACAATGGGAAAAATTTACTGACTATGCTTTCAAAATTGTAGCCATGGTCTGACAGTGTACCAGTGTATCAGTGATAAAGTGATTGCTTACCAGTCCTAGGATGGATTCCCAGAACTTTCAAAAGGAAATAACAAGGCACTATATGTTTGTTTTAATTTTTAAATATATATTTATGTTTTGATCCATTTTATATTGGGACAAAATATCAAATATTCACTATAGTTTCTATCTCTTCCTTCTATGTTTCATGATACCCAATCATTAGATACAAAGAAACCTCTATTTACTAGTTTTCAAGAAGAACAAAAGATTATGCCCCTTCCTGCTAACTGCCCATCTGTTGCAGTTATGGATGTCGCTGAGAATATCAGAGCAAAAATTTATGCTGTGTTGGGAAAACTAGGTAAGAAACCCCTGCAACTCACAAGTTTCTGTGTGATGAGTGTCGCTGCAGAGTCCATGTGACACATGTGAATAAAGTCCCTTTGTTCAATAAATGCATGCCCCCTCATGATCTCTCTTTTTTAATTATTTATTTATTATGTGTACAGTGTTCTGCCTGCATGTCTGCGTAGAGGCCAGAAGAGAGCACCAGTTCTCGTTGTAGATGGTTATGAGCCACCATGTGGTTGCTGGGAATTGAACTCAGGACCTCTGAAAGAGCAACCAGTGCTCTTAACCTCTGAACCATCTCTCCAGCTCTGTCCCTCATGAACTGTGGCCAGCATGTAATATATATGAGAGTATTATTTAAAAAGTTAGAGTTTTGGAATGTGGAGCCCAAAGAGCAGTTCTTTTTAGCTTCCCAGGCAATTTCAGTGTGTAGCAGAACCATGAGCAGTTAGGCTTGAACATTAGCATTCTGAATCATCTCAATTTTTAAACTCTTTGCTTTCTATTAAGGGAAAAGTTCTCATTTACTCTTTAGCTTCTGGCCATGGTCCAGAAAGAATGAGTTCTTTGACTGTGTAAGGATAACCTGCAGAAGGATTTGTTGTGGAAGTGTATTTTTGCATTTGTTTTTATGGTAGAAATATGAATCTTGAAACCATTCTCTTATTAAAATAATTCTCTCTGAACAAACTTTGATAGATTTTGAAAACTTACCTGGCCTCTCTGCTGAAGATTTTGTCACCCTCTGTATAATACATAGATACCTTGATTTTAAAGTAAGTACCTTTTAATAACTTTAAGTCTGTTATATCAAAACTAAATTGGAAAATAAAAGATGTATCCATAACTAGAACAGTTGTTCACATTACTCTAGTATTCTTGTTCTGTTTTTCACATGATTGTGATATAAAACCCAAAGCATTTGGATTTCTATCATGAGACCAAATTGTATTTAACTGACAGAGCCACGTGCTTCATAGACAGATGAGAGATGACAGAGTAGTCATAAGCTGGCCAGTGGCTGTGACTGCATGCACAAAACGTGCACAAGAGAGAACCAGAGTCCCCGCATGGATCAGGGAGGTGGTCAGAAAACCCCACCCTAGCTGAGGAACTGTTGGCAACTGACTGCTGCTTGGAGAGGGAGGGTCTGTTCCACGTGACCCTACACCCGCTCATGTGCTGACACTACTAAGTGGGAGGGCTCCATGGGCTGGCTCTTCTAAAAGAGAGCACATGAAATTGAGAGGGACTCCTGGGGCGGTGGCTAGGAGAGGAGTAAGAGGAGAGGAATGGACTTGATAGATACATTATACTCATATATAAAATTCTCAGTCAGCCCAACTGTCAGCTTGTAAGAGAAGGTGAATATTACAGAATCAATCTGAATTCTAACAGGATTTTAGAAATCTTTTCTGTTTGGAAAGCGGTAGAGCCAGAAGTAAGCAAGTTATTACTTATCAAAGTGATATTCCTTATCAAAGTATCCTTTATCATTTCTTTATGCCATAATCAAATCTCACTTAAAAGTGACTAGGTTGCTTACTTCTCTACTAAATGAACTGAGTAAATGAATATCTATGAAGCTTCAGGAACATCTTCTGAAGTACATTTTATTTCTGCTAGTATTATGTATTTAGATGTTGTAAATGAAGAAGTCTTTTTTCAAATGAAAACAAAATTAAGCTGTATTCCTGTTTTAGATGATATGACAGTTTCTCTAGTTTTCATATAACTTAGCCTTACTCTCAGAATATGAAGTGAGATTTTAGCGTGATGAAACTGTAGTTAAAATCTTGAGAGTCAGTTACATGCCTTTGTTAACAGGATCCCAGTTCTAGGAGTCACATGTCCCAGGCTCCCAGAATGCCCCTCTTGTTCCTCCAGATTCAGCATGACCTACCTTTCAGTAGAGGGCTGAAAGGAGTAATAGCATCAGAAAGCCAAGCTTGTTCTACAGCTATGAAATGAAACTTAACTATACGCCAGAATACTGTGAGGTAGCTGGTGCCCACATCATTCTCAGCACATCTAACTTATTCCCAAGAAGGAAGTTAGGAAAAACTTAAGCATTAACAAGATGACCACTACATAAGGAATTATGTAAAATTGTTTCATTTACTTTCATCAATTTAAATTTCTCAACTTAAACTTTGCCATGACAGATTGGAGAAATATGGAATGAAATATGTGAAGAAATAAAATTGGAACAATTAAAACTAGTCACTTCAGATAAAATGTCTTTGGAATCTATTACAGCAGCAACAGAAAACATTGGAAAGATGGTTGCTACCCTGCAAAGTGAGATGATTGAAAGCCAAGCACGCCAAGATGTGCAAAACGAGCAAAGAGTATATGCAAAGGTAAGCCAACGAGACACAAGCTGTTAATCTCAGTATGTAAAGCAGATGAAGTTAAACATAAAGTGGATTTGTCTTATTTGTGAATATTTTACCATTAAATTATTTTCCCTTCCCTAACAATTATTTTCAATGTCTTTGTGCAATTTTAAAAGAAACTATAGAGTTAAGAGTTTAAAATGTAATTACTGTTGCTAATGATGCTTTTGCATTATAATTTAATTTCTTGTTTTCTTTTTTATCTGTGTATACATGTGGTATATGTTTGTTTACACATTTATGTGCATGGAGGTTTGTACACAAATGTGGAAGCCAGACCAGGTGGTGGTGGTCCAAGCCTTTAATCCCAGCAGTTGGGAGGCAGAGGCAGACAGATCTTTGTGAGTTCGAGGCCAGCCTGGTCTACAGATCAAGTTCCAGGACAGGCTCCAAAGCTCCAAAGAGAAACCCTGTCTCAAACAAACAAGAAAGTGAAATCCAGAGGTGAATGTTCAGTATCTTTCTTAATCACGCTCAACAAGGTCTTTCTCTCTCTGAGCCCACAGCTCATAGATTCAGTTCAGTTGAAAGCCAGAAAGTCCCAGAGATGCTCCTGTCTCTTCCTCCCCATCAGTGGAATTACGGGCATAGGCCACCTTGCCAAGCTTTTTATGTGGGTTCTGGTGATGTGAACTCAGGTCTGCATGCTTGTACAACAAGCAATGTATTGGCTGAGTTATCTCCTCAATACTCTTATATTTTACAAAGTAAAGAGATACCTGACACACTTATTGCTTTGACATGTCCAACAGGATTCTAAAAGTTGTAACCTGCTTAAATATATACTTATAGAGGGGGACTAGAGAGGTGGCTCAGTGGTTAAGAGCACTGGCTACTCATCCAGAGGACCTGGGTTCAATTCCCAATACTCACATGGCAGCTCACAGTTGTCTGTAACTGCAGTTCCAGGGCATCTAGCATCTCCAAACAGACATGAATCGCAGGCAAAACACCAATGCACATAAAATAAAAAATTAAATATATACTTTTAATATCTCCTGGCTGTTTATCTGTTATGGAATACATAACTTCATAGAAAGATAAAATTATCTTTCACACCTCATTCGGTCATAGATCTTTTACTGTTTTGCTGTCTATAGACTTATTCATCCATCAACTTCATCCTCACCTCAATCCCAAAACATTTATGAGCATTGATTCTATACATTCTTTTTTTTTTTTTTTACATAAAACTGGTCTGACTTTAGCTGAACAGAGAAGTCAACCAGGAAAATAGCAGCCTTTGTCCTAAAACTTTGCACAGATGAGAAACTGCAACATTGTTTGTTTGACCAACTAAGAGACACTTAAACAATGTCATCCATAGACACAGGGATGTCACCACTTTGTATTGGTTCTCTATGACTCTATGACTACAGTTAAACACTTATGGCTCCTTGAGATGATCTCCAAAGTGTTGTCTTTCCACATAGACTATTGAATGTTTGATGCTACAGCTTAGGACCTGTGTCCATTCACGGGTGGACTGCCACTCTGCAGCTAATTGCTTCCAAGTTTTGCTTGCACAAAGTTTTTATGACAAGAGTACTGCTATAATCTGCTCAGAACTGGGAAGAAAAGATGGAACACCAGTTCTTCTGAATTACACAACCTTTGCCATTTTGACTGAATATTTATTGCCATACATCTGTCCCCACTTTTTTTCCCAAGAAATTATTTTTTATTAGTTCAAATTAGAAAAAAAAAAACTTGCTTCACATGTTAATCCCTTCTCCCTCTCCCTCCCCTCCTCCCTCACCCCCCCACCAGCCCAGTTCTTTAGTGGCCCTAAGAATATTGTATTTATAATGGATGGTATTATATGTATTTATCTGATACACAAATATTCACCGATGGTGTGTATCCTCTGATTACACAATGGGGAGTCTGTTAAGAAATACGGAGTTGTTGGTTAGTGGTTTGCCTTCTAGACTGCAGTTCCACACCAACCTAGCAGTCTCACAAAATTGCGTACCTTGTTGCAGTCATAGATTAAAAGTAGTTCTGCCAATATTATTGGCTAAATTAATGATCAGTGGCAGCAGGATCTCTTTATTTTCACCCGTGAATTTCTCTTTAAATCCTGCCTTGAGTTTTCTCTGGACATAATGTCTTCACAGACTGGAACTACAGAAAGCACCCAGTCTTTCAGAGAATGCTCATTTTTAAAATGTTCTCAACAGTTGGCTTTATGTGCTGTGGAAAGTAGTTCAAACCTTAACCGTAGAGCAAATAACGTTTTTGATGTTAAGACTTTTTGTTGTTGTTGTTGTTGTTGTTGTTGTTGTTGTTTGCTTTTTGAGGCAAAGTTTCTATGTAGCCCTGGTTGTCCTGGAACTCACTTTGTAGAGCAGGCTATCCTAGAACTGAAAGGTTTCTGCCTTCTGCTGCTTCCAGAGTGCTCAGATTAAAGGCTTGCACCAGCATTCCCAGCAATGCCTGTTTTTGAAATTGTTATGTATTCTAATTTCTTTTTTAGGCAGCCTCAAATTAGTCAGCCTCATTTTAGTCAGCAAAATGGAGGCTCTTCCTTTAAAACGGGGACTTCAAGACCTCTGGTGTGTTTAGAAACTGAAAGTCCTAATTTTCTTATTTGTTTCAGATACAGGCCACGCACAAGCAAAGAGAACTGGCTAATAAATCATGGGAAAACTTCTTGGCTAGAACATCAAATGCTAAAACACTAAAGGTAGGATTTTTAAAGCATTATCAGTATACACAACACCAGCCAATCTTTTTTGTTTGTTTGTTTTTCAAGACAAGGTTTCTCTGTAGCTTTGGAGGCTGTCCTGGAACTCGATTTGTAGACCAGGTTGGCCTTGAACTCACAGAGATCTGCCTGCCTCTGCCTCCCAAGTGCTGGGATTAAAGGCATGCACTACCAACGCCCACCCAGCAACACCAGCCAGTCTTAAGGACCATTCTTTCTGAAGACTGAATATTCATTTCCTGCAATGTTCTGTAGGATACTACCTCCGTTAGATCCTTGCCTGCCTCTTAGACTGACAACTGAAAGCATTTTACAACTGAAAAATGCGGCTTTGCATTTCATTTGACTTAACACTAGGAAGTCTGGATCTTGTTCCTAAACAATGAGATGACAGCCAGGGGGGAGCCAGAGAGAGCTGCCCCCTGCTGCCCATTCTGAACCTTATGAAGGATCCCATTTCTATAAGCAGAAGTGTGAGGAACAGGAAAGCAAATGTACCTTCTCTCTAATGACCATCTATCATATTTTACTATCAGTTAACACATTTTCTTTCTAATTTAAAAATCTTCAGAAAGCAAAAGCGCTCCAGGAAAAGGCTATAGAATCCTCTAAATACAGTGAACGACCACAAAATGCACTATTTCACCAAACAGTTATTAAAGGCCTTAACACAACGGTAAGATCTTTTTTTTTTTTTCCCCACATCTCTTTCTTAATAGACATGAACGTTGGGCTGCCAAAATATTATTTCTATGGGAAGTTTTGCCTGTATATTTGAGTTTTGTTGTTCAAATTCTCCAAGGCATATCTCTAAGACACTTCACCCCTCTCCCCTCCCACCCCCAGTGCTAAGTTAGAACAGACACTGCCCCCAGGTTTCTTACGGAGGTTTCTTGCTGCCAGCACTTTGGTTGCAGCTCGCAGGTGGGGTAAGCACAGTTAGTTCTCCTCTGTCTGGAAATAGACCTGTACCACATACCAGTTTGCTTTGTGAGTTCTGCTGGGCACAGTTTGTCCCTAGCCACAAAACTACTGCGCATTAGAAGAATTCAAGCCCACTTTCTTGTCACCAAAGTCCTTAGCTTCCTCGTATGTCACACTGTTTCTGTTACGTTTTTTGTCTTTCCCAAAGCAAACCATATGCTCTGTGAGCTTTTCTGTTATCAAAAGGTTTCTAAGTAGACTTTGAGATATTTGTCTTCTCCTTCTCCAGGTACCTTCAGGTCGGGTGGTGACAGTGGAAAGCACTCCTACTCGGTTACTGGGAGGACCTCTGGCTGACACAGACATGGCTCTTAAAAGACTGCCTGTTCGAGGAGGAGCCTTGCAGAGGGTGAAAGTGAAGACACTGAATGAGCCAAAAAAGACCGCCCCTATCTGATAGGCTCCAGACCTTTATGAAATACGTTCTACTTAGAACTGTTTAGCTGAATGTATATTTATATACAAATGTAAGGCAAAAGGTTAGAATAAATATTTTAGAAAATATTATAAAATTAAAGTCAGGATAATATAGTTTATTTTTTATTAAAAAGCATCAATATACGCATCAGAAAAGCTTATCTTTTCCACTATCTTTGGAAAAGCTGTTGCTCCCTTAACTAAAATTGTAATGTTTGTTTATCAGTTAGGACTACCCTGAAGGACACTGTTGTAGACTTCATATCTTCCTTCCTGAGTAATGTAGACTGTGGGCACTGTTGGATCAAAGGAATGAAACTGACTTAGGAGGGATTTCCTTCCAGCAGCCCCACCATACATTCTTCCCACAGAGAAGAGTAGATACATTTTCTCAATAATTTCTGCTGCTCCCTCTGCATCATGGAACCCTCGACTGATCACATGCCCACTCCAGAGCATCTCACCTTGAAGTCACACACATCTTCCTTCCTTGCTCTTGGAGCCATAGACAGTCCACAGTCATCTAAAATACCTTGATGGAGTCAGAAGTCAAGGCACTATCGAATGAAAGACACATGAACACCAGGAACAACAAATAATATGTTGGTGAAAGTAGAAAATAAATGTATCTATTATAAGAGGCAAGTGTCAGTCACAAGCTAAGCAGCAAAAATCAAAATACAGATACAGTTGGTTTTACTATTAATATATAAATTTTCAAAGTGGTGTTGGAGAGATGGCTTAGTGGTTAAGAGCACTGGCTGCTCTTCCAGAGGTTCCGGGGTTTAATTCCCAGCAACCACAAGGCAGCTCACAACTCCACTCCCAGAGGATCTGATCCCTCTTCTGGTACCTTTGAGTACCAGACACTCACATGCACAGACATACATATAGGTGAAACTCCCATATACATAAAAAAGATAAATAAAAATTTAAGTAAGTTGAAGTTTGCAGCTATTTCTTTTTTATTTTTATTTTATTTTATTAGTTCAAATTAGGAACAAGCTTGCTTCAGATGTCAATCCCTTCTCCCTCTCCCTCTCCCTCTCCCTCCCCCCCAGCATCCCACCTGCCCCTAGCCACCACCACCCCCACTCCCTAAGCAGGGAAAGGCCCTCAAAAGGGGCTCCCTAAAGTCTACCACAGCATCCTGGGCCAGGCCTAGGCCCTTCCTAATGAGTCCAAGTCAAGAGAGCATCCCTTCATATGGGATGGGCTCTCAAAATCCCTTCTTTTTTTTTTTTTAAGACTTTACATATTTAATACAGTAAAGTTTGCAGCTATTTCTAATGCTTTCTCTAATGCGCAAGTGACATTGTGGGGGAACAGATAGAAGAATGCAGCATGAGTTGTTCATACAAACAGTAGCAAGTAATGCCTCATTTCTATCCCAGACACACCCAGAATCCTTATGCAGTGTCCATAGATAAGAGCAATGAATCTTTGCAGCATTTGGAGACTATGAACATTTGTAGACTCTTAGTTCCCCAAAGGCAAGGGAGAGAACATGTATAATTTACTATTACAATCAATACTTCAGTAAATAAGTTAGTGATGGTGGCCTTGACTCATGCAGCTTTTCTCTTGAGGTCTTCAAATGTAACAATGCACTGACCTCAAAATGAAGAATCAGCCCACAGGATACTTGACAAGTGATGCCAAGCAAGGACAGCATGTTAAAGTAGTTTGAGCATATATATGAAAGTAATTGTAGCATAAATATAATGGTATAAATATAAACAAGTTATAGAGAAGCTGATATGATCCAGGTGAGTATCAGTCAGTTTTGCACATAGTACAACGTTCCATCTCCAGAGTGATTTAGACTAATCACCATCAGGATTACTCAAAGTCTACAGACTGTTCTGCTATTCATCAGGAAGAGAGAAGGCAAACTAAGACAGATTATTTTCTAGCAGACATTTACCACATGAAGAAGAATAGGCTGATGGGAAGCAGGAATTGAGCTTACTGCAGAGACCATACAGATGGTAGGCAGATCTCTAACCCATTTGTCTGGCACAGTCCAGTCATCATACAGTGAGCGAGTGAGTCCACCTCTCTGATAACATCACAAATGTTTCTGCTTTTCTTTCTTTGTATTCTGTTCACACTCCTCTTGAGTCCTAGTGGATATTCTGTCTAGGCTGCCCTGCCTGAGAGATGGATAGTATTTTCTTCCATGAGCCAGCTGGGACAAAATTTCAAGCTTTCAAACTGCAATGTGTACTAATCAAGTAAATAAAACCTATGCTTTGGAATCAGAATGAGCTGTTTGGTATCCTTAAGGCCTCTGGAAGTTCATCAATTATGCATTAAGTTAGATGAACTCTGTAAACCCAGACCCATGAGATAGATTTTGAGTATGCATTGTACAACTACAAACAATGTTGGAAAGAAAAAAAAAGGATAGCTGGCTTCATCAACTAACTTTGTAAAGCAGGAAAGAGAAATAGTATGTCCCGATACCCCTGTTACTCAATACGGTTTTGGGAAATTACTTTAACTTACATTTTTATGTCATTGAACTGCTTTTGAATTTATTATGTTACTGTTTTTCTGCCTTTTATCTGATTGTCATGAAAACTCTGAGCATCAAAGATTGTGTCTTGATTGTTCACCAATGTTCCCTCTACCTCAGTGAGTATTTGCTGAATGGATGAAGGACAAACAGGAGTGAGTTTTTCTATATGATGAGAACATGATTTTTGCAGTTTCTTGTGGGGAACACAGACAGATGCAATGTGTTGTTAATGTTAGCACAGCATAAAATGATCTCAATGATTCAGACCCATGGGAATGGCAAAGCCTTCCCTGGGTCAGGCTCAAGGAAATGGCAATGCCTCCTGGCCCATGTGTGAATACTGACAGTGTATACAGAAAGCATCAATTACAACTTCCTCCCTGATGATTACAGCCTGAGACTGCTCCAAGACAGAGACCTCCCACAGAGACTAGCTGACCCTTCTTCCTTGTGCTGTATGAAAATAATAAATGGGTTTCCTGGTTGCATAGTGGGTGCCCTTCATCAGAGGAAACACATCTCCCCAGTCAGGCTTCCAAGGTCAAGCAACCCAGGATGTGTCAATTTTTCTGGCAGAAATTTTAGTATCTAAATCATTAAAATCCCTTTCAATGAATTGTTCTAAAACAATGCTCATTTTAGCAAGTGTTCTTATTTTAATTTTTTTTAAATTGTATTTGTGAGCCAGGTGGTGGTGGCCCATACCTTTAATCCCGGCACTTGGGAGGCAGAACCAGGCAGATCTCTGTGAGTTTGAGACCAGCCTGGTCTACAAGAGCTAATTCCAGGACAGCCTCCAAAGCTACACAGAGAAACCCTGTCTTGAAAAACAACAAAAATGTGTGTGTGTGTGTGTGTGTGTGTGTGTGTGTGTGTGTGTGTGTGTTTACATGTGTATCACATGCAAATAGGGGCAAGAGGACAATTTGCAGGAGTGTCTCCTTCCACCATGAGGGTCCTATGGATGGAACTAAGGTCATCAGCCTTGGTGACAAGCACCTTTGCCCACTGAGTCATTTCCCTAGCCCAATGTCATTGTTCTTAAATCATCCAGTATACGAGAATACAATTTAGGAGAATGAGGAGACCATTTGTAAGCTACTTAGGTTGGAAGGCTAACCACTAATTTTTATTAAATCTGAAATATTTATCATTGACTAAATACAATTTTTACAGTTACTATGGGTGATTGATGACAATTGTTCAGGCAAATTTTAGACCAAAATTATATAGCCTTGCTTTGCTTTATGGTACTGAACTATTGAACTGTAATCATTTGTGCACAGATTATGTGCCATGAAATTGTTTCCTAAGGAAAACCTCTTCAGCCTGCCTATAGAAAATGGATTTTATTCATCTCATTAGTGTCAGTTGATTTCCAGAGCTAAGGGCTCCTCCCTTAATGGGCAAAATATTTTCAACCTTAAAATATATTGGACCTACAGTCTCATTCTGTTTGCTACACAGCTAATATATTATGAAATAATACTTGTGTGGTAGTTTGAATGAAAATGGGCCTAATAGGCTCATAGAAAGTTGCACTAGTAGGTGTGATCTTGTTGGAGTAGGTGTGGCCTTGTTGGAGGAAGTATGTCCCTGGGGGATGGGACTTGAGGTTTCAGAAGCTCAACCTAGGCCCCATAGTTCACTCTTTCTTCCTGCTGCCTAAAGAAGTAGAATTCTCAGCCCCGTTCCAGCACTATGGCTCCACTATACTTCCCACCACGTTGATAATAGACTAAGCTTCTGAAACTATAAGCCAGCCCCAATTAAATGTTTTCCTTTGTAAGAGTGTTTTCAAGTGTCTCTTCATGGCAATAGCAACCCTAACTAAGGCAACTTGTCAAGTAATATTTGAAAGGCTAAGAGGTTTGTTCTTTTTATTTTGGTATTTCAAGACAGAATTTCTCTGTGTAGCCTTGGGTGTCCTGGACCTCATGCTTTAGACAAAGCTGACCTCCAACTCACAGTAATCTGCCTGCCTCTGCCTCCCAAGTGTTGGCATTAGAGGTGTGTGCCACCACAGGTGGTTTGTTCATTCTTTAACACTGAAGGTTCTTAACCTACAGTTTGTGTGTGTGTGTGTGTGTGTGTGTGTGTGTGTGTGTGTGTGTGTGTGAGTGTGTGTGGGTTACTAAAGCCCTAGTATTACTTCATGAGAATTTCAGAATGGTCCAAACTCAGAGAATACACCCCCTTTTAGTTCAAGGTTTATTCTTGAATCAAGTCAAACCATCAGACAGTTATATATTTATCCAGTATTATTTGTGCTGTTTTTTTTTAAGTTTACTTATATTTAATTTGATTGTGCCTACATCATTTTGCACAGAGAAGCACGTGGCATCATCATCAAAACACTTGAAATCTATAGGGAAAACTATGGGGCAGAATTCTATTGGTTCTTTGTCCTGAAAAAGTATGGGAATTTCTTAAACATCTGGTTTGGTTTTTCTTGCAAACACACAATCTTCAAACTGCTTTTGAGTCCCACTTCACTTTGAAACTTAGAACTATCACCAATTTTACAGGACTTTTTGTCAAAGATACAGGTTAGGGGTGGGCAGAGGCCAACATTAGGTATCAACATTAGGTATTATCAGTTTTATTTTCTGAGATCAGGCTTCTCACTGAGCCTCAAGCCCACCAATTCTGTTAGACTGGCTGTCCAGGAAGCTCTAGAATCTTCCCGCTGGGCTGACAGTCACATGCTTCTCTGCCTGAGCATCTGATCTTAGCCCTCATGTTTGTACCACAAGCACTTTACCAACTTGAGTCATCTCTCAATCCCCAAAAGTATTGCCTTGATGCATACAATCAAAATCATGAATATAAACCGTAATTGTGTATTAGTAGTTTCCTGTAATCATTTCCCACTACTCCAATTTAATCATCTACTGTGTGTCATGCTTTTGTTTGTTACATTTCTTAAAAGTTTCATACTATTTGTGGAATATGGGTGTGACTTGTAATTAATATAAAAATGACTAAAGGTAAAATGTGACTGACATGATACCTAAGTGAAAATTCCATCATGCTTTGCTTTGCTAAATTGTAGCTTCTTCATGTTGGTTAGTTGTTCCATTTTAATGTTGAGACAATATGAATTATACCATAGGAGCTGGAGAGATGGCTCAGAGGTTGAGAGCACTGGCTGCTCTCCCAGAGGATTTGGGTTCAATTTTTGGCACCCACATGGTAACTCAAAACTGTCTGTAACACATGTACCTGAGGATCCAGTGTGCCCTTCTAGCCTCTGTAGGCACTACATGTCCACAGTGTACACACACACACACACACACACACACACACACACACACACACACACACACACATACATACACATATGCACATACATGTGGGCACACACACGTGTGCACACACACATGCATGTGCATATACACAATACACACACACACACAGAGAGAACATATCCATACACAAAAAATGTTTAAAAAATAAAGAATACATAGAAAAAATTTAATACATAGAAAAATATTTAATATGGTGTTAGTGTTGAAATGTGACTTCATTAAGCAAAAAGAACATTATATCAACATTAAATGTCACCTTTAGATACTAGCATTAGTTGGGGCACAGTTTTAAAGTCAATACTAGTATACCAGGTACTTTATAAAATTGCTTACAACTTCACTCCACTGAACACTTAAAAAATCATATTTTCATTTGAAGAATTTTAAAGACAACTTGACAAAATGTTTTCTAAATAAAAAATTATTGACAAATTAGTGAATATTTACACATAATCCAATCACTATCAATAAAGCAATTATATATCTAGAGAAAGAAGACCACCAGATTAAGGAACTAGAAGTCATAATTTTAATTATAACAGGAAATACTTGACAGGACTATACTCTCAGGTGGCATCTTGCTTGAGGTAATGTTTTTGTATTTTTCTTCCTAAATGTAAAACATGTTTTATAATCTATTTCTGTAGTATTGAAGGAAATTAATATTTCTTAACATAAGATTCCATTCTTCTATGCAACCCAATTGAAAATGTTTTGTTCAAAAGACTACAACATGCCTGATATTTCAGTCTTATAATATGAATAGATAGAGCTACATGGCTTTCTTATGAACTACTCATGGGGAATAAGATGATTTTAATGATCTAGCAATGTGTATATTCCAAGATCCTTTATAATCAAGCATGCTCACGATTTCTAAATAATGTGAAAATGAAAAAATCATAAAAAACTAAACATGGCAAATTTTCTAGCTTAGTTGATAAACCTGAAACAATCAGAAGGACTAAGTATCAAAATTTTAATAAAGTCACATCTCTACTTCCGCAGGTATACCTTCAAATCACTTCTTGTCATTTTCTGTGGAAAATTATACTTGGAAGATACCACCTGTCTTCTGCCCATTCCGTGAGACCTTGAAAGCAAGCAGTCTATGTACATGTCCCAGAAGTCTTGGGCTATTGTTAAGAAGATACTGTAATGCCTGGGCCGCTGAGACTTTTGCAAGAACAACATGAAATTCCAGAAGGCATCTACGCTGTGCTCTATCTTGAGTTCCTTGAGGTCGATCAGCGTCAGAGAGCACGTGTTCCAGCACTGAAGATCTACGTCCTCTGTGATGCCAGGACTGATGCTGGCGAGCACTCCCTTTTGAAATTCAAAGTCAGCATTCGTGAGACTGAACAGCATGATGCAGCCCAATGGGAGGCAGACCCATCTCCTTGCAGCAGAACCCATCCTATGTAGAGAAAAAAAAGAGAGAGAGAGAGAGAGAAATGTAAAAAAGGAAAAGTATTTTCAAGCTTAGACAATTAGTAGTCTGTTTTATGATACAGTTGGATGTGTGTTTATTGGTTTTCCTCTGAGCTGCTGACTTCCTTCGAAAGGATATTATGATTCTGGCTTGACAGCCAAGTGTCTCTGGGAGTCACTGAAATCTAGTGTCTGTTTGTGAAGATTCGATGTTCACTTCATCGTAGGCTTTACGGCTGCAGTAACCTTACAGGCATGTATACCTCTTTCTCCCTGTACACATTAGGACACTTCTCAGTGATGTGGTCTCCTGTGTCCCTGTCCAAGAGCATTAAAATACAACTCGTTCTACATGTAGTTGGAGAGGTTTTGTTGGGTTTTAATTGAATTATTAGAAATCTATTTACCTAATGGCACTGGATATCTCAAGTATTCCCCTCGCCCCACCCTCCACCCCCCTTTTTTTCTACTGAAAATATGTGTTAAGCACTCCTGTCTTGTGTGTCCTGGCGTTTCTTGCCTTGTTTGGATTAGGCTAGAGATGAAGCTATATCTCTAAAAGTGCAGGAAAACAAGGTGGGGCACAAACTAATATGAGATGGTACAGGGTAGACTACAGTCAGCAAATACTGCAATGGTCTACTGTCTTGTCTGACAGTTTCCCTGTCATTTGGTTTCTCAGCAAATCGACCTAGAACACAGGGGTAAAGATCAAAGACTAACTTGCCAATAGATCGCCACATATGTGTTCATCCAGAATGGGGGCGTTCTAAATGCTTCCATACGTGCCAACACCTCAACAGCCAGCTCAGACAGATGGGTGAAATAAAGAATCCGGAACCCAGAACCCAAGGTTCAACCTCCTTTCCACATACCGCCTTTCTCCCCTCTTTAAAAGAAACTCATTTCTTTTTAAGGAAGAAAGAAATTTAAACAAAATCCAGGTCGCTTTACATGGTCGGAAACTAGAGTGAGCTGACAGTGGCAGGTAACAGTTCTAAAGGGTGTGAGGGGTGGGCTCCAAGACTTTCTTCCCCCCTCGATTGGCTAGTTTTCCGACCAACGCCCTTTCCACCTACGGCCGCCTCGAAGGGACCCAGGAGAGCAACCCCTCCCGGGAAACCGGGAACCGAGTACCTTCCGTGGATGTCCATGGTGCGTCCTGGCACGGTAGTACCCGAATGCGCCTCCGGCTAGGGGACGGACAGGATGTGTCCAGGCAGGCTCCTGGCTGGGGGACCCGAGGTATCAGTGCAGGCTCAGGACGTCCCACCCCAGAAAGCAGGAAGAAGGTGGAGACGGTGCTGCAAGACCCGGGGTCGCAGGGGCTGGGAACGGGACCCTTTGCGCTGAGCCAGCAGCTCTGTTGGCGGGCGCCTCTCTGGAGACAGCCTGGGAGGACCGCGCTCCTTTTCTAGGGATGGAGCTAGCCCACACAGTGGATGGCCACGCCCCCTCGGGGGGGCCCCCGCCCCCCCCCCCCCCCCCCCCCCCCCCCCCCCCCCCCCCCCGGGGGGGCCCCCGCCCCCTGCCGCCCCTCCTGCCACTGCCTACCCAGGCTTGGCTTCATCATGATCACATCCGTCTTTCTTCCTGGCTCACCCTTTCCGTTCTTTGAGACTCGTGTCATCCCTGAGCTATCTTCTCTCCCTAGGTACCCAGCGACCGCGCCGGTGTGCATAGGAGAATTCTCTTAAGGCTGGAGACCTGTTAAAAAATCCTAAACCTCCCTGGTGGGTTCTAACCTAGCCACAAACTCAAACATGACCTCGCCTGTACCTGAACGCAGAGTTTAACCCTGGGAACGTTTTCTGTACCCTTCACTAGAAGGATGAGTTCAGAAAGTCTCTTATATGGTATGTCTGTAGTATTGTTGCTTATTGTTCCAGCCTTGATGCATCATTAAGACAATTGTGAGAGGCTTATGCCTGTGATAGAAAATCAAACCAAAGCCATGATTTACCCACTCTTCCCTTTAGGCAGGTCTCTTTTCCATGCAGCTCCTTGAGCTAGGATGGAGATGAATTACAACATCCCCAATTCATTGTCCCTTCCCCTACAACTAAAACTGACTCCTCCATCAAACAAATGGTACGAATAGTTCTTTGCTGGTATCCTCACCATATGCATGGAGTTTTAGCATGGGTAACCATAATACCGCCTATCTTGTCCTTAAATCCTTCCTGTGTCCCTGCTGCCCCCAGGACCAGCTCCTACATAAAACAGTTGAAAAAAAAGGAAGATCTGTTACTCAGATTTTGTAGGACATGTGTAAATACATCTCACGCCAATATACTTATCCAGTGTTTCAGGTGTCTAATTCCACAATTCATGGACTCTCATAGTAGACAGTTCAAGAGTCCCCTAATGTATGTACCTCATCTGAAATTTGAACTTTGTACTCATCTATGGAATTCTCCTACTCACCAAAGCTGTTGTCCAATTTCACATGATTCTGGGATTAAAGGCATGCACCACCATTGCCCAGCTTTGAAATCTGAGGTCTTAAAAAGACATTTCTCAGACAACACAAATAATGATCACATAAGCATATTCATAATGCCATGATAAGCAAATAAGTACAAATTAAAGCTACAATGAAATATTAAATCATACCCATCAAATAAAATATATAGTAAGTTCTAGAATATCAAGTGATGGTAAGTACAGCAAGTATATTAGAGTTCTCTGAAGAACCAGAACCGAGAGGATAATTATATTTATACAAAAATGGTATTTCATAGAAAGGTGTTTCTCTCTCTCTCTCTCTCTCTCTCTCTCTCTCTCACACACACACACACACACACACACACACACACACACACAGGCGCAAACACACACATTCGAGCACACACACATATAAAGATATAATGTGAATGACTGACTCATGCAATATGCATCAGCACTATGAAAGCTAGCAGTAAGGATAAAGTTTCAGGTCAGTGCCAGTATGATTTTTCCATGCCCTATGACTCAGGTTTGTGGTATTTTCAGCAACAGGATCTTACCATTAAATTCTGGAAGACAACCAAGAGCAATAGCTTGTAATGTTTGGGGGATCAATGGAACCTCACTGAACAACAACTAAAAAAGAGGCAACCCATAAGTTTGTCTGGTAGACTATGGTGTCTAAGGAAGGCATTGACCCACCATTACACAGTAACTCCGTTTAAAGGTGTGTGTGTGTGTGTGTGTGTGTGTGTGTGTGTGTGTGTGAGCTTCCATAGTAGTAGGTTAACAAATGATGATGTTTTCAAAGGTTTTTAGGTACACATGACTTTAAGTCATGTCTTTACATTCTCAGGAATATAGCTTGAAGGGACTCTTGTAAATGGAGACAATGGAATTTGTAGCACAGTTCACAAAAGCAAAGACACAAAACAAGAAAAATGACCATTAATATCAAAATTACTGTAGAATAGTCAATAGTATGAGGTATTATTCATCAGTGAGATTAATAGGTAGCAGCTATACACTCATATATAACACACATTAGATTGTTTTTCTGTATGCACTAGTTCAAAAATGCAAAATCAAAAAACATTTTTACAAAGTTCAATGACATGCAAAATTAAACTTTTTTGTAAAAACTCGTAAGTGGTAAAAACAATTTAATGGCGACACATTTCAGGAATGTGATTGAGTTTGGATATATGAGATTTTTTATTGATTTTTTTATTTGAATTAGAAACAAGATTGATTTACATGACAATCCCAGTTCCCTTCTCCCTCCCTTCCTCCCCACCACCCGCCAACTAAAACCCTACCTATCACATATCCTTTCTTCTAATCTACACCTGACTCAACCTTTCTGCTCCCTCATGACCTCTGCATCCTTCCTCTTCTTCCCTTCTCAT